GCAACAACAATGAGAAACCCATAACAACACAAAGCACAATGCGAATCCTGTTGAATTTAATGAACATGTTAGCGTATAAAAATGTTGGCTTCATTATCCTTCAATTTTTCGTGCGAGTTGCCGCTGTCAGAGTATATGAATATTTTCACCGAATCATAAACTCAAAATTTATATTGTTTTCCTCACTTCATTGTGGAGAAATGTTGTACTACTTCTTTTAATACTAAAATTCCTAAGGTTAAGAACATTAAAAGTGATGGAAAGGCATTAAAGCTCCAACAAAATTTCTTAGAATACATTTAAGATGACTTGAAAATTTTTCTAACAAAATGTAATATGGAAGACAAGCAATGGATTTTGACATTGTCGTGTATGGAAGGAAGTATTATAATGACATTAAATGACAAAATAACCGTAATTAAATAATTTAATTATTATTTAGTTATACTCATATATGTCATAATGAGGTATATATTGCGATAGTGAAAAACCACTTAGTTATGTTGAGGCTAGTTGAGTCAATGCACTTGAGCACTTTTACTATCTATTAACTGCGAAGTTTCTTCATAAGCCCTCTCTACGTCTTGACTGGAGTATTGTTAATCACTTCATCAGACAAAGCAATAATTGACCTCAGATCTGCCTACCTTTTCGAGGAGCCTGTAACCATTTTGAGATTCGATAGTGCGGTGTTGGTAAGTCTGTCAGGGCTCTATTCTTTATGTCTTCCTTATGAAATATTTCTTTATATATCTTTATATGAATCACAGATACTGTACGTTTATCCTTAAATAAAAAATTAAAGACATCAATTATTATAAAATCCGATATTTGGTTCGTTTTATAAGATATTTAATACTTTTTATTAAAATCACAAACAACAAGTGGACATTTTTGAACAAAAATTGTTTTCATTGAAAAGCAATTTTAATCAAGTATATATTGGTCAATGTTATTTATGAACTCTTGCCATTTTTCGGGTACTTTCATAATTCCATCAGTGTAGTGCTTCTGTGCTTAATCGACGATAAATCTGGCCGTGTGATTTTTAGCGGCTATTCGGTATGTTATTGTTTACCACTAAAAGAGTTTTGTATATACCAAAATGTATGGTGATGAGAGAGTGTGGTCTATACGATGGATGCATCAACCGCCCAACCAAGTCCCAGTAATTTGTTATAAGTCAAATTGGCTGTTATTGTTAAAAGAGTTTTGCATATATCAAGACATATAGTAGTCAAATGGTGGTATCTACATGATAGATGCTTCAAAACCTTACAACCAAGTTTTGTCAATTTTTTTCAAGTCATCAAAGATATCTGTGGCATGGTATTGTCATGATAAAATATAACTCCTTTCTGTTGACTCATTCAAGTCGCTTTTTCTTAATCGTTTCGTTCAAGTGGTCAAGTAATGAGTAGTAGAGTCCCGAATAAACTGTTGTGCCATGCTGAAGCAGTTCATAATAACGAATTTCCTTTCAATCCCAGCAAACAAAACTCAACTTTACATAATGTAACAGTATTTGCCTTGAATTCAGGTTTTAAAATCGTTTGTAAAAAATAGGTCTTTCGTCATAATTGTTTGCCATAAATCTTCTTATATTCTCATATCCATTTTTCAGTATCCATAATGATTCACTTCAAAAATATTTTGATTTCGTTGTCTCAAATCTCGTTTTTATCTTATATATTTTTCAATGATTCTGAATATCAGTGGTAATGATAGCAATTTTTTTAGTCATATTTCTGTTTCTTGAAAATGTTAATGTAAAAAAATAAAAATTTTTTATAATAGTTTTTATTTCTATATAGTCTTCTGTATAAATATTGCCTAATTTTCTTTTCTAGTTATAATCTATTAAATTCTACAAATTTCGCTTTTAATCCCTATACTAATAAGTTGCAGTGAAGCTCTTGATATATACAAAAGGTGCTTAAGCAAGATTAAATAAAATAATTCAAGCTATTTTGTGCAAAATCATTTTCAGCTAATATTAGTTTAAGAGGATGTGTATAAAACTTGGTGAACATATATACTTAAAATGATAATGGAGAATTTATTAATTTTTTAAAAACATAAACAAAAAACAAGCACCTGCAGTTTTCCTACTTTAAAATGAAATCATACGCTTATGCAGTTGAAAGTATCTTAATATTTAAAATTATACCAAAATTGTGTTTCCCAAAAAACATATTCATGGTACGGTTTTTTTCATATATATACTTTAAAAGTATTATCTTATATTTTATATTTTAATATTTTTATAAAACGGAAATAATTGCTTTACAAAAACCTTACCATTTCGGTTAGATTTTATATATTTTAAATTCAATTTTAATTAAATTTTTTATGTTGTTTTAATTCATAATTTATTTTGGTTTAAAATGAAAAACTAAAGTGAGAAATATTTTATTTTAAAAATTATAATTAAAACAATTTTAAAGCCGTCATGTTTTGTAGGTCAAAAGTCAGTATAAGTGGACCAAAAACATAAAAACGCTTCTATTCAATATGAAATAAAATAGTGTTGAAAAACAGTTTTTTTTTGCAAATAAAGTTTCTATTTATTTTGTCGTTATTATTTAAAAATGCAAAAATTATGAATGAATAAATTTAAAAACTAAGAAAAATTTAAATAAAAAATTTTATAAGCAACAGTTTTAGCTATTATTTATTATTTTTTTTTTCTTTTATATTTTAAGGCTGTATTTTGAAGTACTTAGTCTGCTCTTAAACTGCAGTTCAAAGTTTTGCTGTTTCCTATTCTGCAGTGATTTTAATGTATTTTAAATAAGTGAAATATTTTTTGAAAGTACTGTGTATCCTTTAGCAAAAATTGTTTTCGCAGAATTATAATTTATTTACATTCAACAGAAATTCTAAAGCTAACACAACAAAAGTTTTCGAGTCAAAATAGTTTCCGCATTGTAGATAATTAAAAAAGGATTTCCTACTGTGATTCTTCAAATTTAAATAATTGCAAGATACATAAGAACACAAGAAATATTATTTCGTTTTTATAATTTTAATTTTAATAATTTTTTTAATAATTATTTTTTTATTTTAATAAAATTAACTTTAAACAAGTAAAACCAATTAAGGAATAAAATTAAGGAAATCTAAAGTAACAAAGGAAAAATTTAATTAATCATAAAATATTTACGCTTCAAATGATTGCCTTGCCTATCAGATATAATTGTTGAAAATATCTTAACTTAATACCAGGAATTTTAAAAAATAATTTGAAATACTTTTAATACTTTAAATTCAAAGCTCATTGAAATACCACGAAATGAACTTGGCACAGATTCCATATGAAATTAACTATTAACCACACAAACAGCTCCATATCAGTTTATAACCCAGTTCTCATCAGCATGACTTAGTCAGCTCTTTCCAAGCAAGTTTCTTTAAATAACTATAAATCTTTGCCGCAGTTTCACCCTTTCGACCTTAATTCATCTGATTTCTGAACGAGATGTGCAATGTGGCTTCATTAATTTAATTGATTTTTCAATTTATTCAGTGGCAAATATTTGCTTGCACTTCCGTTCAAGCTTTTGTCGGTTTCATTCCTGCCCCTCGAAATATGTATGCCACCATTTTTGTTGTCTGTTACTGGAAACATTCTAACAAAATGGTGTTTATATTATATAAGCAAAGTTCTTTGTTGTTATTGTTGTTGTTATTGTTGTTGTTATTGCTGTTACTATCATTGTGCCCTGCTGGAAGTAACATTTGTGGCCATTGTTGTTTGAAAATTAATTACAATGAGATTAGCTTAGATAAATTGTTTTTGTTTGCGATTCTTACTTGATTATTCCGTAGCCTACATTTGTACTGAATATTCTTACAAAACATTTAAATGAATTTTATTGATCAAATTTATGTATGTGTTTCCCTTATGTCTTATGTGGAACAGACAGACAAGTAGTGTTTTATATCCACGAAGGCTAATTAGTCAGAAAATGTTAATATCGACTAATTATAGCCTAATTAATTTTATTTCAATGCAATGTACATACTCGAAAACTACAGTAATTAAAAGATTTATATTGTATTCGTAGATATGATAGAAGTTCTGCGAACGTTTCTTTACATTGATTATTTTAACCTTTAAACATATTTATTTTTAATTTAGGTCAACTTCTAAAATATTTTTCTTGTAACTCATTATTATATTACAATCTGTTAATTGACAATATATAGTATTTTAAAAAAGCTTTTACATTATAAAAACTCAAAGTGGTGGACATGGAATATAGAGTAGAAGCGTTAGGGGGCAAGTTTGGACAACCACTGTTTGTACTAGAAACATTGAATTGTCGGATTAAAGTAGGAAATATTATTTTTATTAAGCCTTCGTAATGCCAATCGCAAAAAAACTTAAAACAGTACATATACTTTTCGGTAACAGTAGGAGGTATTATGTTGGAACACTGAAAGAATCAGTTTTTGAAAATATATATTTCGATGCAATATTTGTTTATTAGCCAATAACTGTTACAGTACTGTAACTGAAATCATTGTAGCTACACAGAATCCATAGTGTTTTAACGTGTTTACCTACTGTTATGGATCAACACCATGGTTATACTAATACTAATCAACACGTATTAGTATAACGGGAACGATAAACGGCCCTATTGGAATACCATGAAATTCTGCTGGTACCAATGGAAGATATACCTTTGAATATAGATTTCTCCTTAGTAGGGAGCGTCGCCCATTTTACACATCTGAGGTTCTAAAGAGCACAACATCTAATGGCAAAATGTGATTCTTCATTAAGTGGAAGTAATGAATATTGCAATTCTGTCCAGGTTTTAACCACAGCCACCAGAATACTCTGATGGCTGTTTATTTAAAAATAAAATAAATTATTTTTAATTAATTTTTTTGAAAGCCAACGTACTTTATTTAATTCAAATTAATTCATATTTTTTTAAAATAAAACTTTTCTGTAAAATATTTCAAATATTTAACTTTACTTTCAGAAAATATGAAGATCAATGCAAAAATGGCGACTCCGATTGAGGAAAAAGTCGATCAAAACTTAAAAGTAAGTAATTAGTAGCGACTTCCTTGCATTAAAATTAATTTTTTTTTATGAATTTTTTATTTTAGTATAAAGTTTAGATTTATAATTTATTACTAACCACTTTCAACGAATTTAACAAAATTGCATTGCAAACCGCAGTGTATTATTTATAAAAGCTTTTAAATATTCACTAAAATAATTGTTTCCAATTCATTTCATTTATTATTGAAAATAAATTCAATTATTTTATATTCATAAACAAATATATTTGTATATTTTTTTTTTTATTCAGAAATTACAATTTTCACCAATAAAACCGTTTCAACATGTTTTTTATTTAATTATTTCTGATAATTGAAAATCAGAGCTCAAGTGCAAATTGCAGACCTGTTGCTAACATATTTTAATATAATATTTAACAGAAATATCAATATTATTCATTCGGAAATAATTGTGTTCAGTATTGAAAATGTGTATTTCAATTTCAGACCATAAATATTTTAATGCAAATTGAATTATGCAAGAACACAAAACATTCAAAATAATATTTCATTTATTGAATGAAAAATATTTTTGTAAGGTTTAACTAGGGCTACAAAATTTTGCATAATATTCAGTATTTGTAATTCTAAAATCTGTTAAAATCCTATTATCATTAATAAATTGAACGAAGTGAAGTAATCCTTATTAATGCTGCAAAAGTTCAAAAAAAAAAATTAATATATTAATAAATCTGTAGCATGTGAGTGTTTAATAGAAATAAATATATTTAGAGAAATCCTACAGATATTTCAAAAACTTTTTTAACCCTTGTAAAAAAGTTTTCTTAACTTCCTGACCACTTCCTCTTCGTAGTGTTTATCATCCATAAATGTAAAGCAGCGCAAAAAATTGATGGACAAATTAAACTATGGTTGTGTACTATTGGTATATAGTCTGATGATTGATGAATGTTGTTGCCAAAAATAGTACCAACCACACTATACCTCACATAAGCAAGATATTTAGGCTTCTAAACGCAATGTAAACCAAAAAAGCACTTTTCCCTTTCCCATTTTAAAAATGTTCCTTAAAATTTTCAAACAATAAAATAGTGTTAAGGCATACAAAATTTTACTATATATATGTATAAAACAAGCTCAGCCGCAAGAAATTAAATATTGAATATCTAATATCTATCTAAAAGCCACATTGTTGGAATTTAACATACCAAAAGCATATTTTAGAACCGAACAATAAAGAATTTAATTATAAAACCGCGATATTCAGAGTTTCGAGAACCTCATTCCAACAATCAAGGACAAAATTAGACGTCATAGGCTTAACATTTATTAATTTAAACTCATCTATGTCGAAAAGTGTAGACGGAAGTGAAAGGAGAAGCTTAAACTAAAACTAAGAAGAAGCTTGAATTTGGAGATGGAATAATTGTAACAACCAAAGGAAGAGTATTATGTGTAGACTGCATGGCCATGCATTGAAGGCATGATTGAAGGATGAATCGTCATGTTGCCAGTTGAGGTACCGCCATCCAAATAAAAGTGTGAACTCATGGATTAGAAGTAAGAATTCATATCGCTGGGTTAGCTTGACCATAAACCAACGAATCGGATATTTACTGACTATTAGATTGCGCTTATAATTAAATTTACTTTGTGAACACGACTTAATTCGAACCAAATAAAGTATAATTATAAAATACTTATAATTTAACCATCAAGTTATGCCGAATATGACTGCATAAAGCATTTTTAATTTCGACGGACTATAAGATGGTATTTTTGTTGACATACCTATATCGAGAAATGAATTTGTTTTGCGAGAAAACACAACTATAAGATACTTGAGCTTGTTAACAAGTCGCATTATGTATTGAGCTTGTTAACAAGTTGCATTATGTATTGTTAAAGCCGAGATCAATACCAGATGCATGAAAGCATCTATTATAGTTAACCTCGAAATCAATCAACAATCACCCACCAGTAAATCAAAGGCAGAAACACTATAGTAGACATTTAACTCTAGTCGAGAGAACTGAAATGCCTGAAGTGGGCAAGTTGAATGAAAGTGGATCTTGAATAGTAGTTTAAGAAATATCAGTAATGACAGAAAATACAAGAGAGGAGACAAACCGACTTAGACTTGAGAGGTCTTATAAGACAGAAACCGAAATACATACTGCACAGTGTCGTGTAGGCATATAATCACAGAGCTTGTAAACAAACCCCTGTACTTAAATGGCATCGAAATGCCTTCTCAATTACCAGGCGTAGTGCCATAGCTGGTTGTTTGTTATGAACAATAACTCGAATGTCATATTGAAAGTGGTGGAGAGTATGTACAATTGATATTTTATTTCTTAAAACTATTAGTAGATTGGTAGAATTTGGATATCATAAAAGAAAATATTTCAGCTTACTTGCTATGAAAACTGTAATTAGTATACTGATCACATATCACACTGGTTGAGACGATTCCATGTTACTTTGTCACTCTTGTCATCAAACAATCACCTTTTCTGTAATTATCGTTATATTTTGTTGTTAAATTTTATTAACTTCTGTATTAAATTTGCTTCTTATTTTCACACAAATAAAAATACTTCAGAATATTATTTTATAAAAACTTATATTCTTACAGATAAGAATTGGTATGGTGAATGTCAGCGATGGCAAATGTAAACCAGAACCACTTAGACTGAATTTAACAATGGAATTATTGACATTGCAAAAATTGGAAATAATAACACCAACGCAGCACAATGGACCACCAATGGAATCAAAGGTAATTGCTGAGTATATATAAGTATATATAGTTAATTTTTAGCCCTTTGTCATATATTATTCTTTCTAATCTTCTAATTAATTGATTTAACTTATTAAATTCTAAGTTTGTTTTCTATATTTTTATTATTCAAAATTTCTCAATAAATAAATTTTTAAATAAAACAATACAAAACGCAGTTCATGGAAAATTGAGGTTAATAACAACACTTGATAATTGATGAATTTTCCGTTGATTAAAAACATTAGATACAAAACAAAATATTCCTTTATGATTCGAAAAAAGAATATTTTAAGCAAAAGAGTGCAAAAAAGCTTAGTGAAGTTAAAAAATTTTGCAATTAAATTTAGTTCTCAAGTAATCTAAGTGAATTGATACTTCATTTTGAGGTTTTGTGGTTGATTAGACCGCAGAGGTAAATTCCCTAAATGGAATTCAATAAAAAGTTCACTAATTCATTAAGTGAAACTTAATGAAAAACACTTAAGTAATTGAAATTGGGTTAATTAACACTCCTAATACAAATGAATTCAACAAAATGTTCAGTAGGTAGTTTCAGACTAATTTAATTAGCACGTGAAGCTCTTTGTATTTATTCTGTGGTTTAGAAATTACTGTTTATTTTATTTGAGTAAATAGAAATTTAAATAATTAATATAAATTTTTAGTGATGTACTTTAAATATAATAAAATAAAAAAACAAAGCAAAAAATTAAAAATGACATGTTATAAATATTTTCTATGAACATAAAATATTTAAATAATAAAAATAAGAAAAAAAAAAAATTAGTTGGTGCTACGAAATTATTTTTCATTATTTTCTTATTAAATTAAATATATTCAGAAATATAAATACATTAACGATGGTCTCCAATATATCTCTTATCATATTGTATAAATATTATATTTAACCAAGAAGCGGTGGCGTAACTGAATATGATAAGTTCATGATTGCAGATATCCGTTCCAGATATCCGTTCCAGATATCTGTTCCAGATATCCGTTGCGAATTTCTGATTTTCAACATAATTCACTAATTTAAAGTAGTAAGAACACTAAAAAATGATATTCTATGCTATTTTCTCTAAAACGCATATATTTTTTTTAATGTCAGCAATAAATTTATCTTTTAGTGATTAACTAATAGTTTTTAAAAAGTTGTCCAACGTGTTATTGATAGGTTGTTATTGAAATTCATGTGTGTTCTTTTAAAATATTCCATTGATAAATGGAAGCACCATTAAATACAAATGTTTTCTCAAGAGGTTAAAAATAATTTATTGTTCACATAATTTCTGCGAATGATCCACACTACAGCTAAAAAGCACTATTTTATTCTCTGTCTTTTTCTGACATCTTATTGGTGTATTATAGTATGTCAAATATACTATCGAAGTCCCATCCCAAATTTTTTTATTTTGGTATCAGCCCCTTAAAATGGTAAAATCTGTTGCGGTATACAATTTTAAGACTTTACCAAGCACCAAAAGCCCAATTAATATCTTCAGAGGCATATTTTAACCGGATAATACAAATATCTTATTGATTCATGTTTTTAAAACTTAAAGCTGTAATTATTTGTAACTTGGTGGTGATGTTGTACTAACAATTTCATCTGCAGTTTAAAAAAGAACGTATAAACCAACGCTATACAGAACTGTAATTAACTATTATTGCTTTATTGTGAAATTTCAGAAATATTTTCTTAAGAATCAAAACCAATTCGTTGTAACTTTTTAAATAATATTCTTTAATTTTATTTATTTATAAGAGTACCTTTTATAAATATACTCCCAACTCTTTGCGGTATATAGGATCTTAAAAATAATTTAAAAAACAGTAGAATGAAAGGAACAGCATTGCACAATCCTTTAAAACAAAATAATATTACATTAAGGAATAACTAAATTTTAGTTTAATTATTGTTTCAAAGCCCTAGGGCATGTCATACCAGACGAACTTCTATACAAACTAAATATACACTTAATTCTGAACAAATGCAGTTTTCGCTTAGAGAATGTCATCTTCACTAAATTCCTTAACAAAAATATTTCAAAATAAATTTATAGTTTCCTGTCTTAAGGTTGCCTTCTTCCAAAGCAAAATGTGATTTTGTCACCCATAGAACAAGTCATCAAAGTGAAAAAATTGAAACAAACTAAGTAAGACTTTTAAATTAAATTTTATCTTGAATAAAAGGCCATAAAAATAAAATTAAAATAAAATTTTTTAAATTAAATAAATTACTTTATTATTTAAATGTAATTGGGCGTAATAAAAAAAGAAAAAAACTCTGAAAATGTACCACTGGTTCAGCTTCTTTACTTGCTGTATCTGATAATTTTTATTTTCCTTAGACTTTTAAATATTTTCTGTTATAATAAATTTAATTTTGTTGTTGTTTTTATTTTAAGGAACGCATGGTTCAGATTACGCGCCAAAAACAGGGCGGTCTTGGCCTGAGCATAAAAGGTGGTGCAGAGCATAAATTACCTATTTTGATATCGCGTATCTACAAGGATCAAGCGGCTGATATAACAGGTCAATTATTTGTGGGTGATGCGATAATTAAGGTTAATGGCGAGTACATAACGGCATGTCCGCATGACGATGCTGTAAATATTTTACGGAATGCAGGCGACATTGTAGTTTTAACGGTTAAACATTACCGAGCCGCAACACCATTCCTACAGAAACAACGTAAGTAAATCTTAATTAAAAAATTTCCGTAAAGGTGAAATCAAAAAAAAAACAGGGGATGTAGGGTAAAAACTTAAAAATGTTAATATTTTTAAGATACATTAAATTAATTTATTACTTTTATAATTTTCTAGTTTTTATGTTCACTTTTAAAGTTCATAAAATATTAAAATAATTTATGAAATTTAAAATTTTATTAAAAGTTTTACATTGAAAAGTTTTAGGAATTTATAAAATAGTCATTTTATTAATAATTCTGATACATAAATTCTTTCCAAAAATGCTTAAATTTATTTAATATAATGTTCATCTCTTTTCTAATATCATATTATTATTTATGGTATATGAATTTTTATTGATATACATTTTTAAAGGTAATATCTTACGTAGAAATAAACTCTAAAACAATATATGTTATACATAAATATATAATATGTACTTATATATAGAACTGTATTTGCCACTAATCATGTGGAATCAAGGTATCTATGACTATAAGTCGGATATGAACTCACCCAAAAAAGCAGTTGAAACTCAAAAACATATATAATATATCGCACTTTTTAAGTCCTCCTTTCTACATATTACTAATTAGTCACGTTCTTCAAATTTTAACTTAAATCCTTACTGAAATATTTCTTTAACCTATTCTAATCATATACTGTAATAGTTAGTAATTCTTATGTGTACACGCGAAAGCATTTTCTAAGTGCTTTTTTTGAAGATATGTTGCATCTGTCTGAACTATTATCATCCACTAAGTATTACTTGAAGATATAGACCATCATTAAAAAATATTTTAGCAGCCCAGCAATCATAATCTTGTAGCCTATTCAATGAGAGTCTACATTAAACGGTTTAAACCCATTGCCATTCGCCTTTCTTTTTTAGATTTTGTTTTTTTTAGTATATTGATTTCCTTACTATTGTTCAAATATTTTTGAGAGCATATTTTAACAAGCTTATCAGATACCTCCTTACCGTTCACGAGTTCTATTCAAGCACACAGAATAACATATATGAAATTCTCAATTGTTCTCCAATAAGATCAATAACTTGAACCTAACCAAACTTGAGGTGCGTTTGTTTTTGAGTACATTTCTATAGAACATGCTATATGTCGATACTGCAACTATTAACTGAGTGAATGTTCCTGCCTGAATATTTCATATTTTATTTAAATTTTTCAATATCTTACAATATACATATAAATAATATATAACCTTATTTTATTCATAATATCTTATTTTTCATTCCTTTAAAGCATCAATTTCCACAAATTTAATTTAATTCTGAAGTGCTTAATATTCGTACCATTTAAAAATTCACATTTTCCACTCTAGAGCCCAAAACAATGAACCTCTTTAATAATCATGTTATCTGAAATGTTTACCTTCCGGTGACTTTGTTATAATTTTCATATCCTCGACAGGAATACAAGGAAAATTTCATAATTTTACATAAAATTATGTGAAAAAAATTAAATTTTGTTTCTTCTGAAATAAAATGTAAAACTGATGCAGATACAAAAGCAAAAAACAAATTTTAATATTAAAAAATGTTGAAATACTTAAATGCAATATTAACCGATTTTAACTTAATTAATGGAGTACATTATGAAATATTTTACATTAAAATAATTAAGCTTAAAGGCTATAAAATGTAACTAGAAACTCATGCAAATAAACTAAAATCTGAAGTTTGTAGTTTATTTTCGTTAATGGTTAGAGTCCTTTGAAATGTTTTCAACTAAAAACACAAAACTGCCTTTACCGCGAAATTTCCATAAAAAGGATTGCAAATGCATACTCTACTTAACCACATGCACTCATGCTTATATTTAAGCCTTTTTATCTCTTGGATTTAAAATTCTCTGATTATTTTTTGTTACTTTACATAGCTTTTAAAAATTTCATATTCCAACAAATTCTTTTATTTTATCTTCCTTTAAACTTTTAAGAATATTAACATATGCAACTGCCATACTTTTGCAAATCATTTTAAATCCGTTTAGTTTTTTAATGTTATTATTTCATATGCTTCCAGTTACAAAGGACACACCCGACTCCGACAATGATGCAACATGTGCTGAATTAAAGGCTGACGAAGGTTACAAATCTTCGATAAATAATGGCACAATAAGCCGCAGTTGTAGTCGGCCAATGTCAATTTGCTCTGAACCTGAAAAGAAATGGGTGGACGTCGTGGCAGGTAAAACTAATTGGTTTTAATATTTAATATTTTATTACTCAAGTGTACGAGCTTTTATCGTATTTGGCCATTGCAGTTCCACTTATGATGGCTTATGTTACGCGTTATATTTACGGGACCGATAAACTGCGCCAGAATGCGTTCGAAGTGCGCGGTCTAAATGGCACTACGACTGGTATTATACACTGTGATGATTTGGCTATTTTAAGTCAATGGCTTAAACTGATAACTGATAATGTTGTAGGATTGACACATTTGCAAGTGAGTTTAATTTATATTATTAACATGAAGTCATAAATATAATATTTATAAGTGAAGTATATATAAGTGGGAGCACTTCTAGCAAAAAGCACGGCTTCGTGAAGCTCTGAAAGTGGACTAATTGTAATACTACACTTCTTTTCAAATAAAATGTAAAACAGATACAAAAATATAAAATAAATTTTAATTTGTTCTAATGAACAAATTGTTCTAGGAAACTTTAGCAAAGATATTCCTATTTCCGTCCCAGAAATTAGTTTGTCGTGTTAATAAAGAAAGCTATCCCTTCAATGCCCATGATCAAAATATTGGACAATCATTTGAAGATCCCAGAGTGAATATGAGGCTGTACCGAGTGCGCAACAGCGACAGAGCAGACTGTCATTGCTCTTCCTTCTTCTGCATTTAGCGATAATATGAATTATCTCACGAGTTCCGGACAATGAGAGAACAGACGTTAACACCATTTTCTTCTTACACTGACCATTAAGAATTCATTAGAAGAAACCGTTTAATTACTACTATAAATAAAGAAACTTTAATCAAGTTAATCACATTGTTGTTTCTAATTCGTGAAAATTAAAAAATCTTGTTGGCTTATTTTTTCATAGCTTCCCAAAAATAAATCAAATATTCTATTTTATAAATACACATAGCTTGTTATAATACCATATATTTACAACAGTTATAATCCTTAGACAACTCCATCTTGTAACCTTGTTTTGGATGCAATGTTCCATCTGTGAGCCCACATTGCTTATCCCAGCAAGCTAATAAGCTACCTTTATAATCACTTTATTATACTCATCCTATGTATTCAATTTAATTTTAATTTAGCAACAAAAGAATAAAAATCATACTAAAACATTGAATCACCCGCTTAATCACTCCTTCGAAGTTATTGAGAGGATGATTAAAATACTTCACTTCCGTTTATTGTCCAACATATGAGGAGCGTTGATTATCAGGACTTACGTTGTTAAGAATCTTGGTCAGGTCTTCCCTTTTATGAGCATATTAGACTTTGTCAAACGTACAAGGTGGTTTTTAAATTTTTGAGTTCATATACGTTAACACAATAAGTCAATAGGCCTAAGTGAGTCCTATGGATCGCCGGAATAACCTTCTCACCTAAACAACAAACATTCTGTATTCTTTGCTGTACTCTTTCGTAGACCAGGTATAACTAAGACTACATATTGTTTTTTAAAGAATTGAGTACTCCTTTGACAGTTACAAACAGTTATAGTCGCAATGGATACATTTACGATTGGTAAATATCGAGTAATTTTTTCAATCAACATTCTTTTTTAATGGACTTTTAGTGAAATTTTAATTTTCGATTGTTAAATCTGGGGCAAAATGTATAACACTCGAGATTAATATACGAGGGCGGTTTGATAAGTCAGTAACTTTTTGAGTTTCCCGCGCAGTTACTCAAAATGCAACAGTGCTGTCGTCAGCTGTAATCTACCAGTGGGCAACTTATTAATTTTGAGCAAGCTACGTCATTCAGTTATTGTTTGATAGCCGTACAAAGCAGACAACCTCGTGAATTTTTACGAAAATGGAAAAAAGTGAATATATCACTTTTATATACCAAATGTATTTGTAAAAGTATAAATGACTACTAATACGACTGAAAATATGTTAGATTACTCAAAAAATGTTCGGTTGGATCGAGAGTAAATGTAGATTGAAGAAGTCATTAAACAGAATAGTTTTTTTCGTCGACAAATTCCTTCAACAAGAAAGAAGTAGTAAATATATTTATTTATATATTTGATAAATAATAATAATACTTCTATTAATTTAGAATTAAGGAGTACTATCTGTCTGGTCTATTGCCTTAAAGTTATATTAAATTCATCTTAATATTGTGAAAATTCAAAAAAATATTTGAAAAACTTTTTTTAAAGCACTGAAAACTTTTCCCAGCGGTGCTCTTTTATCCCCTTGAAGACTTTTCTAATTACTCATTATGACTTCTAGCAATTATTACCTGCCAATCGGATGAAAACAATTTTTCAACTTTGCAAACATTTTGCATAAATCATAAAATTTTACATTTTAAAAAACTTCAAGACATTAAAAGTAAAATGAAATTAGCGAATTCGAAAAAAGTGGCAACAATGGATGTACACTTCGGCATAAAAAGCATTCAATTAAGCAATTTGTATGCAGGACAAAAGTATTCATCGTTATCGATGGTAAATACGCCGTGAGTGGCAGCAAAGCACACAACATCGCCAATATCCGGCCGAACTTCCGCCGCGTAATGGCAGAAGCAGTTCCACAACTGAGGCTGGAAGGCAACTGAAACTTTAATGGCCCAAAAGTAAAATCCAGAAGAACGTTCCGTATAAATTATGGCGTTGTGTCTGCAATTGCACTCACTGTGGTACGCGCTTATATGAGTTAATATTGATGTATGAATTTTTGCATAAATAATAATATTTTTTATGCAAATTTTTTGCGTACATAACCAGCGTTAAAAGTACGAATTTTTTATTAAATGTAGTATATTTAAGAGACTTTGTGGTTTAATATTTTTTAAAGAATTAATTTTTTTTTGTTTGCTTTCTCTTGCAGATGAAACTTTACAATCGTAATTTTGCGGTAGGCGAACGTATCGAATATATGGGCTGGGTCAACGAAGGTGTCATTAATAATAACATATCCTGGCAAAGTTATAAGCCCAGATTTTTAATACTTAAAGGCACAGAAGTAATGCTTTTTGAGTCACCACCGGTAAGTGCAATTTACGCTCACTAAGCTCATAACAAATTTAAGTGCAGTGTCAACATAATTTTGCAATGCCCAAATAAGAACACATTTAACCGAACAAAGTCGTTAAAAGCAAAACTAACTCTCATTTCCGTTTTGCCATTATGGCAAATTAGAATTCTAGTTGCCATATTTTGCAATGTATATTTGTATTTGGAAACGAAATTTCATAGATTTTTGCCATTGAAAATTACTGCCACAGTTGCATACTGCAGCGCTCCAGACGGAATGCAATGCACGTTCGGTGAAAATTCAGTTGAAATCGAATTTCATCCATTGCAGAGCACTTCCACATGGACACTGAGTGCAAATGTGCAACTTTTAATTATTTTTTAAAATTTCATCATCTCAGCTGGAATCTTAACTAACATTTTGCTTTTCTGTATTTTACTATTAGAACATAAACTTTAATTGAATTGAATGGCATGCAATTCGAGTTGTATTTTTTTTTAATAACTAAAAATATGCATTTCACATAAATATATGAAAAAAATAAATATTTATTTATTTGCAATTGAGTGAATTTCATTATTTTTATTTGTTTTCATGTTAGTTTTCTAACATAGATTGCACAATAAATTGACTTGCATCAAGCAAACGAACGTCAGATACTTTTTTTTGTAGGTGTTAACTAGCAAAAGTACAATTCGCTATAAACGCTACAAATGCTGAACCCATTTTTTTACATGCAATCCATTTGAATGAAGTATTTTTCATATCTGACACAAAAAATGTTGTGAGGTTGTTCTACATTTAAAAAAGTGATTTATTGTGAAAAATCAGTTGATTAAAAACGCTTTGCATTTATTGTTTCGTTAAGTTTTTATTAAAGTGCGTCTGTTTTGGAAGTATTTCAATTATATATTTATATAGATGGTAGATATTAATCGCTACTCCGGACTCTGAAAGTGGGTCCATTGTGATTTCACAGGTTTAAACTTGGAAACATCATTTCATACATTTTCAAACACATTCGAAACTAAATATAATGATATTAAAGAGATCAGCTGTATACCGAAGTTTAAACTCTAAAAGTGGGTCTATCATGACAATGGACGCAGAGGAGTCAACTTGTCACAGGTTTAGTGGCAAGCTGACTGTTCTATGTAATTTAGCTGGAGTTAAACTAATTTTGGACTTGGAAACATCATTTCTTACATTTTCAAACTCATTCCCAAACTAAATATAATGACATTAACGACATTAAAGCTGTATACCGAAGTTTAAACTCTGAAAGTGGGTCCATTATGATTACACAGGTTTAGGACACGCTGACTGTTCTATATAATTTAGGTAGAGCCAATCTAATTTTGGACTTGGAAACATCATTTCATACATTATCAAACACATTCGAAACTATATTAAATAACATTAAAGAGATTAGCTTAATACCTCAGTTTAACAACTGCTGGCAGTGGAGATTCTAGCAAAAAGACTAGAATCTCTTAACCATGTCATTCTATGTCAGATTGTAGTAATACCATGAGGTTTCAATAAAATTAAAATGATTGCTAAATTATATACAGTTTATTATAATATCTTCAATAATTTAGTTATTTAATATGTTTTGAATGTGTTATATTTTACTAACAAGAAATTCTTTTCAGTACATATTTTACATATTACAATATTCAAACCTGCTTAAATACACGCAGTGATAAATATTTATATATTTCTCAAACTCCAACTACGATAAAAAAATATACAGTTTTATTTTACATAATAAGTATATATTTTTCTGTAACAAATACATTATTATTTTTTATTAAAATAATTACAGTAAAGATACAACAAATGTAATCATTTTTATTATTAAATATCATGACACGATTTTGTTACAATTGTTCTTGTCGCGTATACGACATGTGTGCCATTATTATGGTCTCCATGCATAGTAAATAAAGTTTCTATGCATAGTAAATAGACTTTCGATAGACAGTAAAAAAATTTATATTAAAGTAATAATTTGATTGGTTTTAGATAAATAATGATATGTAATTTTGTGCAGAAAACAAATATGTCATTAAGCCAATTATTTTCTATAGACAAAATGTAATGCTTCTTTGTATACATATGATACATTTTCTTAGGTAATAAGGTCTAAAAGAATAAATATATTCATAGAATATTATTCACATGATAATACATAATAATTTTTAAAATAATTAAATATTTAAAAGAAATTTGTTTTTCTGCAATTAACTTATTAAACTAATAATAAATTGATGAAATCTTAGTTCCCGGAACCCGTACTTTATCTCTTATTTAATGTTCTTATTTTTGCATCATGTTTTAATGTCTTTTCTTTTGAAAGCTTTCTTCTGGGAGCTAATACTGAGTATTCATGGAGAAAATGGTTGTTTCTTTTATATACATTTTCACAACTTTAGTAACAAATATTAAAAGCTATACGCAGTTTCTCTGCGTAGGAACTTATACATCAGTGGCGTTGAAGTATTTCTGTAAATCTTGTAATAATCACTTTTGATAATTTCCGTAGTCATTTTTAAGGAGTTCCCAAAACATTTTTTTGTTATCTGATCGGCCCGAACACTTTAACATTACTCAACTTAAATGTCTTTCAATATCAATAGAACTACCATTACCGGTCAAGCTTTCTGCTTTTTCATTCCCTTCAGTGTTCTTACCTACAGGAACACATATGAGATCTGATTTTATTATTAATTATTAATCAACTAAAAAAAATGGAGTTGCATAATCTTCTTAATAATTTCACGAGAAACATAGACATTACTTATGTCCCTATCACTCATTATTAACTAGCTGAAGAAAATGAAACTACTTCTCGTAACGATTTCCATAAACCGATATATCCAAATAAGTACCACTGCCAAAGAATTTTTCAACGTTTTTATTCCCTTTAATATTTTGGTTCATTATTGTGGGTCTTATTATTGATTAGCTAAAGAAAATAAAGCTAAGTACTGCTTTTAACGGTTTTCAAGGGAACATAAATCGTAAAGTTGCTTACTCAGAAAAATAATTCAGTTAATTTAATCTGATTTTATATAAACCTCAGAATAAAATATTCTTACTCGATGCATCATGTAGGTTCAACCATACAACATGTTGGTTTTAATATCTTCTTTACTACATCAGCTGAAATCTCTCTAACAAAATGAACTGGTCCATTTATTAGTATGTGGTTAGAACACATTTTTCTGAGTGCACTTAGCTTAAGTCGCTTTAACTCACTATTAACTCGCTAAAGTAAATAAAACTACTTCTTTTAACGATTTCCAATAAAACATAGAGTGGTATATCCGAATAAATACTGCCTTTTTTATTATCTTCGATCTCCCTATACCGGAAATCCAGATGTGTGCTTTCAGCTAAACTAATTATTAATTAACTGAAAAAAATATAGCTATGTACTTCTTTAAACAATTTGTAGGCTAACATATGGTAAATCGGAATTTACAGATAACTTAAGTCTCTTTCACTTACACATAACTTAAGTCTCTTTCACTTACACATAACTTAAGTCTCTTTCACTCACTATTAACTAGCTGAAAGATATAAAATTACTTCTCTCAATGACTTCCAGGGCAACATAGACAAGTTTATCCAAGTAAGTATTTCCTTCAATATTATAATGTCCTATATAATGTTCTATATCTGGAAACCTAGATGGGTTTTAACTAGTTGGTTAAACACATCAATTTTCGCTATTACTACTACTACATCTACTAAAAATTATTATTCAAATATTTTTCATTTGAACTGGCATACAGGCATACATCGCTTAGCAATAATCAAAAGTATTGGTTGGTTGGTACACTAAATTTTACCCGATTTATTGCTCAACAAATCAATCAAACCATTTTCATGGTTACTCACCGTGAATGTTCTGAAAGTGATCAGATTTTCCAAATCAACAAATTTGTACGCCCACAGACAAACAAATTAAATACACATATTTGCACACAAATACAAGACTGAAGTCATAAACAGAAACATATGTATCCTGAGATGCATAGATATTGCATTGTGGATATTTCATTTGTTACTGTTTATTGTATAAATGTTAGTCGTACTCGTAGATATCTACGAAACTACGAATCTGTTTGTCCGTATGAGCAACGTTCTTAAATCCAATTTGACTGATAAATGAATAATAGCAAACGCACATAAACACTTCAACGTACTATGTCTGACATTCCGTAAAACGGAAGCTTTAAGGTTGAAGGATATAGGATGTACGATGTACGATGTAGGATGTCAGATGACGTAGCGTACGGAAAATGTGATGTGCCAAGGTGAATTTAAAGATATGAGTATGTCACTAATATGAATTTGAGTGGCATTTTATACAGCGCAATGATACGTGTGCTGTGCGTGTGGCAAGCCTAAACTGAAAATTACATAATCAAATAATTGACGGTGTAAATATTTAATAAGACTTTACGTCAAAAGTAAAAAATAAAAAAATGCTGACAGTAAAAAACGCTATTAATAAAAAGGAAAATTACTAAATAAAGAAAAGGATACGTTCGAATAAATTTTTTTTGTTTTTTGGATATGTTGTGGCACAAAAACATAAATAAATGTTTATCGTAGTATAAATTTTAAGCAAAATATTGTGTAAATATTTAATTTTGAATAATATGTCAAGTAAATAATATCGATTTTCTTTCGCACTGTTATACTCAAAGCACATAAATATGCTCACCTAAATCCATAATTCAAAATCCGACACACTTTTTTAAAACAATATACATTTGTGCATAAATTTCGTTACAGTATGAGTAAAAATTTAAATTAATTTAAATCCATTCTGTTTCCTTCCTCGCCCTAATGTTGATGCAGTCGTGCACAGATTTTTAAGTTGAAATCATGTTGGAAAGTTGAAATTTTAATCGTGTCGCTGCATGGCAGATATACATATTTAACCTGATATCCTGATATGCAAGCAAATAAATGCTCATTTAAATAAAAAGGTCCTTTTAGTGAAATTTATTTATTTATATTCTTACACATAAACTCATATGTGAATATTTAAATAAAATTTTTATGAACTCGTATAAGCTAAAATAAAAGCATAGTAATCTATTTCATAAAGCAGTATTTTTTTCGTGTCAAGATAAATGGTTTATACTTTTCACTTTTAATGAGTTGAGTTTACATTTTTCATACATTCATGGTTTCAATAATATTCATTCATGTAATTATGCGGCTTAGATGTATAATAATTTAAGTAATGAACACGAAAAAATATCACAAAAAATTCAATTAAGTTAAGTGAGGCATGCGTGGCGTATGAGTGATGAATTAGTACATATGAAAATCCAGTGTTGTAGTTAGATTAAATGAAACAAATATTTTAACTGAACAGATGGCTTAACATTACATTAAAAATTAGTGAATATTATACCATATTAAGAAAGTAATTGAGTAATTTGCATATAATTGTAAAAACACTGCAAACTTAACTTTGGAAAGATACGAGTAAGCATATACTTCATTATATACATTATATACCTTCAAAATATATCCGGATTTTGTTGTATGTTAACTACTCCTTAAGTAATAGACCCTTTTCAAAAAATTTTTCTTTGTTATATTGGTACACTCTTTCTCGACATATGGTACAAATTTGAGTGCCATCTGTCAATTAGTTTGTTTACAGCAGCTGTTAATGTGACACTACCTCAAGTGTAAAGTGCATTTAGCGATTTTTACTATGAAAAATTCTTGAGGTACGCGATTTTTTGACCAAACACGGCACCACTGTCATCGCTCAGGCGCCATATTGATCAGATCTGAATCATTGCGACTTTTCTCTGTTCCCGAAACTCAAAGCGTTTTGAGTCGATTGAATCGGTAAAAGAGAATTCGCCGAAGGAACTAAAAGCCATACCTCTACGGGCCTATGAAAAGTGTATGGAAGATTGGGTTAAGCGTTGGCATATGTGTATCGCTTCAGAAGGAGAATATTTTGAAGGAGATAAAATAAATTTGAAATAAAATTTAAATTTGTGTGTTTTGTTTACAAAATCCAAGTCTTTTTGAGCAGAAGGTATACACACCAAATACGAAACAAACTTCTCAGTATTTTAGCAATATTGACTAAATAAAAACTAACGTTATACTTTATAAGTAATTCAAATATTTTTTTTAATTAAATTATTTAAAATTTATTCAATAATTTTTTTAATTTATTTTTCGACCTGTTTATTAAAATGCTTTTTAATATATTTTTAAACTGGTTGCAGGTTCCTTTTTGTTAAATAATTAAACGTTTAATATTTTTTATTATACTCTATACTTCGACTCTTCTTGAGTCATCATCAGTATTATGAATATAGGTTAATATTATTAAAAGTACATACACGTCCTCCTCTTTGCTATATCGTTTATATTGTACCATACAAAAAAAGTTAGACGTTTAATTATTTATCAAGCATAAATTTACAGCCAGATTAAAAATATATAAAAAACCATTTATTGAGTAAAATTAACTACGCTATTAGTCTCAAAAGTTAAATAAATTCGTATATATATAAAATTTTTAATAATTTTTTTATTTTTTATTATAAACTTTTTTACCTTTACTCTTTCTGATTTACGGTTACCACTCTGACTAGCACATTCACAAATCAGCACATTTTTAATTGCTTCTCCTGAGACATGTAGAGTGCAAATTTCTTAAATAATTAATGCATTTGTTTATTATTTACAGAGTACAGGGCAAAGGTAAACCCAATACATTATTGCAGTGAACAGCGATTAACCCTGACATTTATTAGCACTTTTAGTGTTATTTTACACTCACACACACTCCAAGCCCTTGGTAAAAACGATAATAAGGACTCTACAAAATCGATAACTTCTTAACAACATACGGTGAAATATGTACTGCTTTCACAAAAAAAAAGGATTTGTTAGGAGTTTTCGTTTCACGAAATTTTAAACTGACGATATTTAGTTACAAACTTTGTTTTATATAACGCTTCAGCGCTGGACAGAAGGACTTAAAAGGATAAAATAATGTTCATACGTGATAGTATATTTTCTGTGAAAATATACTAAATAAAATTTAGTTAAAACGAAATTTTTGCTTTACGCAAATTGACATCCAGTTACTTTTAAGGGTTTTTCTTATTTGAAAATTGTCCCAAAAAAAAGTATGGTAAATACGAGTTTAATAAAAAAGTTTTGTTTTATATGAAAAAATCCCAAATAATTAATTTATATATTTTGTACATTGTTTTATATAGTGTACGATAATAAACCGTACACCCAAAAGCCCTGATTTCTAACAGTAGGCAAATACAAACAGTGAAGAACTTGAGGAACTGAAGACCCACCTTACGATAAAAGACCTTACTGTCAAAATTCGTGAATTCTAGCAGTGTATAGGTACAGATAACGAAAGTTTGAAGTGCTTCAATATATGAATGGAAGCTAACCATCTTTTCTTGAAACGATTTAAATCACTACACATATATATATATGTCTATTCCATACAGCATGATAAGGTAAATTGAGTATCCCCTTTAATCAGATTTGCATAAGTTGCAAAAAAAATAGGAAAAGAAACAACTGAACCCTTACTCTGTATCTAATGAGGCCTGTCAAGATGAAAGTATTACACTTAAGAAACCTACAAACTAGTGAGACTGCCATTTCAAACTTAGATCTTCCAAACTGAATCTCCTTTATCAATCATGTAGGTTGGTAATTAAAATTACGAGTTCATAAATGATATATCAAAAACAAGTATAATTCTGCATGTCAACACCTGATTTACGGTCTCTTAATTTTCGATATAGAACCTGTAGATCCTGTAAGAGACCTTGTTCCTTTATTACTAATTTATTATAGTACTTCTTCAAATAATACTCCGTGTTAGTACTTGATTTACGGTCTATATATATATATATATATATATCTGAAACCAGTAAATCTTATAACAGGCCATTCCCCTTCTATAGTACTTTGTTATAGTACTTTATCATATAAAGAGCGTCTAAGTATAAAACTATCTAAAAATCTCCAACTCTTCAATAGTACTATATTATAGTATTTCATCAAATAAAAAGTGTCTAAATCTAAAACAACCTAAAAATTTAGTACTTCAATAAATTATATAACTTATATTGATTTCAATTTTAAATACTTTTGAATGATTCGAAGAGTTTTAAGATCAGAGCACTGTTCTAGTGTAGTCATTCGTCTTTCTCCTTTTCTTTGCCAATAATCAAAAAAATGTTAAATTTTCCCAGACGATAAATATTTCCTATAGTTGGATGCTATTACATTTAAGGCAAATTTGTCTACATTTTATCATCCTCATTTCCAACATGCATTACAAGCCATTGAATCCATACTAGGTTGTTTTGACCAAGTGTGTTATGTTTTTCTAGATACTGCACCACCAGATTTGTTTCTTTGTGATGAGATTTGAAGTAAATATATTTATTAATTACACATATTTCCGCTTATAGTGATTTATATCCACTACCTAGAAATTTCTACTCTGGCCCTTCGTCACTTAGTGAGCCATTTATATACTATATTGTCACAAACCGGTTTATATAATGCGTTTTAGATATACTGTTATATGCATATTGTTACAAAGTTCGGTTTAAAAAAAATCAGATACTTTATGATCTAACAAATCTCATAAAGCATCTGTTTCACATATGAGAGCAAAACTTTTCATTTGTCGTTCTTATGTAGCTAAACTCTTAACAGTGTGTAGATAGTATTTGGGACAAAATGATTCTTTAACTATTTTAAAATTCATTACTTTGAGATTAAATTTTCAAAGTATCTTAAACTCATTTGAATAAAAAATTTTATTAAGTCAATCAGAAAAATCGTAAGAAAGTTCTTTGTTTCAAATTTAAATATTAAAAAAGTAAATACACTTTAATTCATATATGTATGGAATGAAATTCATTCACTTATGTATTGAAAATTTATTCAATGTAGTGCAAAACTTGCATAGGCAGCAATTTAAGAACTTTATAGAGTGGAAATCTGAACAACAAAAAAAATTGAAAATAAACATTAAAAATCACAAGAAAGAAAATTTAAAAAATTGGTATCCAATCGAGACAAAGTAAATTAGGCATGACATAAAAAGGACCACAAAATTGCAGGACGCAAGGAGCAGAGTTCGAAGTTCATTAAAACCCATTCTTTGAACAGTTTAGAGTACAATTATTTGAGTAAATTTTGTGCCACTTCTTACGGCATTTAACGCTAAGGGAACTCATTTAACAGTTTCAATAATTTAATTTATTTTTTGTTTTAAGTCCATGCTTAGTTTTTATGTCAAATGTTCTTTTTCAGGATTTTCCTTAAACCCATTTCGATGCCTTTTTCTATTATAAGTTTATTACATTTTTTGCTTTCTTATTTATTGCAGTTGAATGTTGCTGGTCTATCAAAGGCTTTGGTTGTTTATAAGGTCTATCAGACTATGTTTCGTGTTGTCAAAGAATCGGAAACGGTTGATAGTCGCCAACATTGCTTTTTACTACAAAGTTCCGGACATGAGCCACGTTATTTAAGCGTCGAGACCCGACAAGAATTACTGCGCATCGAAAACAGTTGGAATGCGGCAATTGTAACCAGCGTCATTAAATTGGGGGTAAGTGTTAAATTGAAATCGTTATCCTTTTCCATTCTATCATTTCACTAAAAACTTTAATGTATGCGGGCTATGGTATTACTGCAACCTCAAATTGCGGCAGCTAACGTTCGTGATTGTAGCCTTGGATTTGTTTATGTTATTGATTTAAATATTTTCATTGTTACTTCCGATGGCAATTTATCAACTTCAATAGCTTAGCTTATAGCTTATGAATTCGTAAATTAAATTGTTTGCTCAAAATATTTGCATATTACAGGCAAAACATTCACAAATCAACCTTGCCTTTCAAGATGTTTGTTATTTCTTGTTGACTGGCAACCGACGCTTTCAAATTAATGAACTTTGCTTCGTCTAAGGTCATGTGCATTCTTGACAAAAATCGATACAATATGGCAAGGCTGAGATACTATATTTGCATAATGTAAACTAGAGTAGTTGAGTTCAATAAATTCCTGTGCTTTATTGTTCGTGAATAATTGCTTTCCAATTAAGTTCTCCAGCTATTAAATATTTAGAGCAATTAATTGTTGTTTGTGGTATTTTAAATAAATTGTCAAAAATTTATTATTGTTTACTTAACCCTAAATTTAATCTGATTACAATCAATTGTTTCTTATTGAAGTTACTGTCAATAAATATGATGGATAACTATTAAAACTTTTTATAAAACAATCACTCAAATCTATAATAAAGATTGAAAAAAACATTCAGCATATAATTTCAAAATGGGCTATTAATAATGATAATGTTGTTTATAATGTTAATGACATTCATAATTTTAATAATATTCAAATTATTATTAATATTTATAATATTAATAATATTCATAATATTAATAATAATTATAATACCCTGAAGTATTTCCAATAAAGTTCCAGAGCAGAAACGGACTGGCATACGAGGGGATTATTTTTAGTCCATCTTAACCAAACATATCACCATTGTGATGACATAGTAACGATACGTTAAGCATTTTTTAACCTCCCCTCCACACTTTATGCACCGTTTAATCTATCCGTGTCGGAATGGTGTGCCTGACTCCCTTATATATTTATCTCAAAGTAATACTAACGAAGTACCTCGGGGTAGGACAAGGTGAGGGAGAGGGATTCAGTCCTTGATAGTTGGGCACACACTTTTCGGGACAAAAAACAAAATAAAACTCCTGAACATATGAATATGTAGTATATGAACTAAAACACCGCCTCTTTGGAAGAACATATTCCGCTATTGTTATAATATTAGTAAGAATAATAATAATAAAAACAATATATACAGTATTAGAATAGTAATAATACTAAAATATTGAAAATTTAATTTTAAAACTGATTTAAAATTAATTTAACTGATTTTATAATTTAAAACTAAGAAGAAAGAAATACTTAATTAGGTTTAATAAAATAAATTACATGATGTAACAAATAACTTAAGGAATAATTAACTTACCTCAAGGAATTTGTTTCTAAATACTATTTAATATTCATATATTTTGCTTACTGATTTAGTTCTTCACGATAAGACGTTTCCGAGTATAAAGCTTACTCAGTATTCCGCTTCTTTAACCACCTAGTATGATAAGCGATCGCTCAAGATGATTACTCCACTGCACAGTTATTAAATCTCAATCCACCGTGAAGGTAGTTTTCTTCTAAATCTTGTTTAGTCAACCAAAACTTCAAACATTTTTTTCCCTGAAGAATTGTCTTTCATTCTGACAATATAATCAAACCAGCTAAGCCGATGGATGATAATTCACTGAGTAATGTAAATAACGTAAATAACGTAATGAAGTTCGTAGACATTTACCGATCTCACAGCGTATTTTTCTCCCAAACACTCGTAGGCCTAGTTCATCATTCTGTAATATCATCAATAAGTTCTGCGAAATCTCAGATTGTGTTTGTAAAATAACACAATCAATCACTATTAAAGACCTTTATCTTTTATTACCACATGACATATTTCATAAATATCTTCTCAGCCTTCTCAAAGTTCGAAACTGGTAACATTTTTATTAGATCGCTGCTTAGGCTTCGTTTTATTTCTGTTGCATTGGTTCTTCCTTTGGATATGCAGAGCCTAGTTAAATCGAATTTAAATAGGATTTAATGAGAACGGTGGTATAATCTGCTCGGCCAGCTGACACATAACTTCTCATTATTTTAAAGCCAAGCTTGTATAGATTTTTGACTTAAGACATTAAGGTATAAACTTAAATATTGTAAATTGTTAAAGTCAGCATTTAACTACATACATTAGTTTAGTAATTTTATATTTTAAAATATAACTTAAGATTATTTGAAAAACTTGAAGTAATTTTAATTTTGTAATTTTATATATCAAAATATAACTTTATTTAAAAAAATTATTTAAAAAAATTCGAGTTTATAAATTTAATAATAATACAAATGTATAAAGTTAATAAAAATGGACTTGTTGTGGAAACACCAAGATCACTAACATAACAAACATCCTCCTGAATGCTTACTAACCACTCTACAATATTTAAGACTTAAACCTTAAAAACATAAACTTATTTGAGGAATTTTACATATTTTAAATCTTATATAACCAATTTTTTTTTTTAATTAAGAAAAGTAAATTATCAAACCAACAAAACAAAAATTCAATCCAGCGAAATCTTAGTGTAACCTCACAGCTTTTTCGGATATTGTCAAATAACCAACATAAATATATATATATATATATATATATATATGAAATATATACTGGCTTGATCGTTCGTATATTTTTTGGACTACTAATATCGTATATATATACTAGCTTAATCGTTCGTTTATAATTTTTGAACTACTAATATTAGGCGTTAAACACTTACAAATTTAAACCATGCACCCCGTGTTAACGGACTAGTTCGACTTACATTTAATTTACTTTATTTAAATTTAAAGTTTTGCCAATTTTTATTGTTTAATCATAAAAAAAACAATTGGTCTTAATTGTTAGATATTAACAACCCGTTATCGAATTTGAATCTATCGCAACCATTGTGCTTGCTGTGTTATTAATAAGAATTAACGCATAAACCACAGCTATATAAATGAAATTAATCATTGTAATTAGTTTTCTCAAACTTTAGCATTATAAATGTCATTACATATTGTTATGAAAACTTTTTGCTAATAATACAAGCAATAACAATTGTATTTTATTACAATACTAAACTATTAAATAATACGTATTAGTAACTGTAGTTAATATTGTAATACTCGATTACATGTGTGCATGATAGCTAATCGTATACACTTCAGTAATTAAAATTATAGTTTATAGTTGCGTTTCAATATGTTTGGCTAGTACGATATTTGCATAAGTCTTAGATCTAAATCAGTCCAGTAGAAATCAACTTAACTCTTTGTTGAAAATAACTAAACTCGAATTTAAAAACTAGAGTATATGTATTTTCAAGGAAAACTTACAACTTTTACTGCTCAAGTTATAAAACATTTAACTCAATTTATTTACACACAAAACTGACGTACTCATAGGAGAAATGATTTCATCCCAACACGCGATGACATTTGAACGAAACAAATGTGCCAAAGTTTATTTCCCACTCAACCCAAAACAAAGACTTCAAAGGCAGTAAAGTCAGTAAAGAACTGAATGCTTACACATATTAATTTAATCTTGAGAAGAAAATAAATTAAAAAAAATAAAATAAAAGCAAAAAGAAAAAAGAAAACTAGAGAAAAAAAAGGATATATACACACACGAAAAAAAATTAAGGACCTTGTCCAGACAGCAAATAGCATGTAACAACAAACGGATACGCAACCCAAGTCCAATGCAATGTGGAACCGCAAAATGGCGGCGCTACGTACTCCCACAGTTCACAGAGTACAATGACCGAAACTGTGCGATTTTCAAACTACAATGCCATTGCTTGTAAATACGATAAAAATAATAACAGAAAAAAATACAACAAAAAAGTTGCTGAAATTGGGATGGTAAAAATTACATAAATCGATAAAAATTTCGTGCAATAGTTAGCAAAGCTAGAGTCGAGAAAAAATACACTAAGAGCTAAGCAAATTCTACAAATTCTACAGTTTCATGCAAGTACCTAGAGTAAAGTAGCTTATCGTACTTCGGGGAATAAGTGCAGAAAACTAAAAAAGAAATTAAAATACATGCATCCATGCTCAATGCCTAAAGGACTAATTTCTCCGACTTAAGCCGTTTGAAGGCAAGCAGGAACTATTTATTTAAGCGTAAGCACATTTTAATGACTTATGAAAACCGAAACAACCAAAAAATTTCATGCTTTAGCATATGGTATGTAGTTAATTAAGAAACAAAAATATACTTATTAAATACGTTTATATAATTAAATAAAATGGTTTTAGCAATGCAGGATGCGAGTAAATCATTTTGCATATATGGTATATAATAGCAAAAGTAAATAATAAGTTTTTTGCTTTGCTTACCATTGCAATTAAAATATCACTTCGTGCTATGCACATTGCACACTTAATTTCATACTTAAACTGTCACTTAAGTCCATTTCCATTTTGAAGTACGTGTCGACCATTTTGGTGCACATATGTTGTTGCACATCTGATTTCGGGCAAATTTCAAATTATTTATTACTGCAAACCTTTTTAGTCATTCGCCTCTACGTGGCTATTTAAGGCATCAATTTTACACCAAAATTAAATTTTATGCGTGTTTCACGGCAATTTCGTGTAATTGCTACAACATTTAATGATAGTCAATGCAGAGAATGCGCACAGTACGCGGAGATGCGTGCAACGGGGCGTATGAGCAATAATTGCACATTACGCCTAATTTTATGTAAAAGAACACACAATTTTAATTGCATGTGTGCTAAAACTATTACTTAAATTGCTTACTGCATATGCAAAATAAATCCTACAATCCTAAATTACATTTAATACTTTTGTGTAAATTTATTTTACAATTAATGACAGTAATATACACACGGTTAAAATATTATTATTTCGTTCAGAGTATTTTTAAAGGTTGCGCATGTACGATATATCCTATATATAAATTATTATTATTATTTCCATACTCCATTAGAACCTTAGGGAGTGTACAAAAGTTTTCCACTGATTTCTATTTTGTGCTATTTCTCTCAACTCGTTAAGCGATTTGCCCATTTCCTGCTGAACTGTTCTTCTCCAGATCATTGCTGGTGCGCATCTGCGCCTAGTCCGCTGGGGGTTCCAATTAAGTGCAGCATGCGCAATGTTTTCATAAGATTTACGCAGTGTGTGTCAAATCCAACCATACTTCTTTCTTCTTATCTCGCGTTATTCTCCATAACTCTTCATTTGAAATCGTTCTAGGCCACCTCATGCCTAATATGTTACGCAGGCAACGGTTAATAAATGATTGCAATCTTTTTTCGATTTTAGAGTTAGCAAACCAAATTTCCGATCCATATAGGCATACCGATTTGACACGTGAATCAAAAGTTTTTACCTTGGTATTGGGACATATAAATAGCTATGTATATATAATGCTGTTTGAAAAGTTTTTCCACTTTTTTAATAATTACAGCTAAACTATGATATTCAACGATGTATACTACATTTGATTTGATTCAATACTGTCTGACATCTTCTTGGCAGTAGCATAATTCCACTCTCTAATCGTCGCTGAAAAAGTATAGAGTTTGTCGTATAAATATTGTTAGAGAGAAAGTAACAGATGATAGTTTCAAGTTACCAGATCTGGTATATATGGTTAATGTGTAATACAACCTATCATAACTGTGTAAGATTTTATAGAATCACTTGCACGATATTCGTCATTATTTTAAGAAAAAGGTTAAACGGTCAGTTTCGAGTAGTACGAGTATACAACCATTAATTTATCGGAAGTCTTCAGTAAAATACGGAAAACAAACATCAAGAGTACACATACATCTCGTCTAACAACCCATTATTTGAACATTCAAAAAATCGAATTGATGGGTCATCTGCAGTACAGTCCTAATTTGGCACTTAAGGACTTCTTCTTGCTTCCAAACGTCAAGAATAAATTGTGTGGATAATAATTTTTGTCGGAGGATGAAGCCATTCTTGCATTTAAAAACGATATTTTGGAGGTATTTGAAGAAGATTAGACAAATAGTTTAAACGCATGCAAAAGTGTATTAATTATAAAGGAGAATACTTCAAAAAACAATAAAGCAATTTTTAACAAGTTAGTATTTTTTCATTATTAGTTTCACAGTATAAAAAATGACCCCCGTAGTGCTAAACTACACCTCTTCTATCGAGAATTTCGTAAAATAATAAAATGAATATTCCAATTGACAACAGTGCATATTAGGAAAAATAGTGTCATCGCACGGTAAATGATCAGAAAACACTTAATTAATGAAACCATAAATATGAGTTTCCGAATGCTTAGACACGGTTTATCCCTTTTCGTACATAGTTAATTAATTAATTTTAAATTTTCGTACATAATTAATTATTCCTGGATTTATGGTCTTGGATTTATTTATTTATTTATTCGTCAATAATTTGTTAAAACTGCAAGTACCAAGGATTGAACTCCTTCTCTGTCAAATTTGGAGCTCAAAGCTTTTAAATTATAATTAATTATTTCAATTATTCTACAGCTGTTTTATCTATGAAACAGGGTTGTACAAATTGATTACAATAATGGACTGAGACTATTATCTTCCGGGATTTGTTATCTACACTTATAAACTAATGATTTTCTTTTTAATTATAATTAAAAATAATTATAATTAATTAATTCAACTATTCTACAGCTGTTTTATCTATGAAACAGGGTTGTACAAATTTATTACAAAATTAGCTTATAAATCAATGACTTTCAATTATGTTATTGTCTATTTAAAATAAAATAAAAACAATCTCAAAACAAGACAATATAAATCAAATAACACAAAAATCTCAAAAAAGTTTAAGTCTCAGAGCAATAAATAATAAGAATTTAAATAAATGATATAACATATTTAATGAATAAAAAAATTGAGCTTTGAGAAACTTTTTTAATTAAAAGTTATATAGCATTTAATTATTGTTGTTTATATTCATCGTATCAAGACTCTTGCTATCTAAAATATTATTTCCCATTGTGAATTAAACGCTTAAATGAAGAGTTATTTACTTACAGTGAACTTCAAGGAATAACTTTTTTGCTAGTAGTATTTTTTTTATGTTTTCGAAAATATTTTTCTCTTTCATAGATACTCGTTACTTACTGTCACATTATTTTCAAATTATGCTAGTTTTTCGCTGTGAGAAAAACAAAAGCTAATAAACAAATAAAGAACACAAATAATAAACCTACAAAGTTGCCACTTAACAGTTTTTTACAAAAAAAAACATTTTTTTTCAAACGAAAGTGCATTTGTTTCTTTTTCCCGTACTTTTTATTAATTATTTTTTTCTGTGTATTTCTGCTTATTCGTAGCGCAAAACTTTTGCCGTTTCTCATCACGGCAAGAGTGGAGGTCTAACACTGGACTGGCAGACCGGCTTCTCACTTGCAGAGGGCGCTGACTCCGCTATTGTTTGGCAGTATAAGTTTTCTCAACTGCGAGGCTCCAGTGATGATGGAAAATCAAAATTAAAACTACATTTTCAGGATCATGAAACTCGCGCTATCGAAACAAAAGTAAGTAAAAAAAACTGATTTCTTTGTACCTTAAAAGCCTATATGCATTTAATGCGTGTATGTATGTATGTATGCATCAGTATGTATGTAAATATACTGAAGCTACTATGGTTGCAAAAGTGCATTGATTGTGGTTTGACAAACGTTGTTTCCGGCTCAAATCAAAAACCTTTTGCAACTTCATCTTTGTTCCTTCTTTTATACTTTGGGTTAATGATTTTAGATTTTCTGGTTTTTTTACTTTTCTGAGTAATTTTTTATGTAACAAGTTTACTTACATGTGCTTAAGGTTCTTTGAAAACTTTATGATTTTTTTGATTAAAATAGTTTTCAGTTTTAGTTTGCTGTTTAATATTGAATATTCCTTTTTTCCATTTAAAGCTTTTTGCATAAAAAATATAAAATTTTAAAGAAAATGTGGAAAAATATGAGATTTGGAGAAAAATAGCTTAAATATTTAAATAATATTATGAATGCTTATGAATAAAGAAAGAACTTCAAGACATATGGATAGGTTCCCATAACAACAATGGCCTACTGTACATGATCTACACTGTACACAGGACCAATCTTCGCTACTGCCACTGACAGGAAAAAACCTACAACTCCATTTTAGGATTATTGAATAATGTAATTGCGTTTCCATTTTAGGATTATTGATTAATGTAATTGGGTTTCATTCAAAACTATACCGCATTTAGACACAAATAAAACAATAAATTGAAAGCATTTTTAATCAGCAGATTTTCCAGAATAAATTATTTTTCAAAATGTAGAACAACCCTAAAACATTTTTGCGACGGATATGAAAAATACTTGTCAAAATAAAAAACTAAAGACAAAATAGCTGTTAATAATATCACAAATATTCATATTAATAAAATATTTATCGAGTTTTTTATTATATAAATGTCATTTTTTCAGAAGCAGAACTGTTTTTGAATTTATCACCTCGGATTTTGATGAAATTTTTTTTATATATCCCTTTTTCATATAGAAATACCCGTATATCGCGAAAAAAAAACGTCTATAGTGTTTCGTGAATTTGCATTTCAGACCAATTTTTGAATGGTCACATCTCCGGCTCCGTAAATGATAGAGCCTTAAAATTATGTTTATATAAAGAAAATTTGGTTGAATATTTTTAAAATGATTGAAACAATTGAAATTCTTTATATTTGATTACTTATATTAACCGTTAATTTCTTGAAAAAGGTGTCAGAACAATAGCAACTACTTCTACTTAAAGAAGATTTTTTTTAATTCATGTTCTATCAATTCGATTGCATATGACGAATAATTCAAATATTCTTTATGATGTTTATAAAAATCTATATTGCAAAAATATTCTACATTATACACAAATTTAATAAAACTAATAAAAAATTGACCCTATAAATAATAATTTTTTCTTAAAATTTCTGAAATGAACTAAAATCTTTTTATTGATGAAATTGAAATCATTTGAGATGGATGAAATAAAATTAATATTATCTCTAAATCTAGTCTACTTCAGTAAAGTGGTTTGATGGAGTCACAGCTCTCAATAAGGTTTTGAGTAATTTAAAAGGCAGGAAGACAGTTTTCCTTCTAATAAATAAATAGTCACAACACTTTCTTTTATTTGTTTCAATAATCATTATTAAATGGATATATAATTATAGATTATAGAATCCATTTATATTATTTAGTGTCATTCTGTTTAATTATCTTTAGTAAAATAGTAAGAAATTGAAACAGACATAAATTGTATATTTTAATTTTTTTTTAAATATATTATATTAAATTTATATATATTATATATAATATAATATATTATATATATATTAAATTTTTTATTACATAAATATTTAATATTTTATTAAAAATTAAAATTTATTCCAACAAAAAGTTAAAGCAATGCTCTCTGTCGCCTCTCTAAATCTCATATACATTTAACCACCAATTTTTTTATCAAATATTTAAATAATATTAATGAATAATTTACAAAAATTCGATTTAAAATAATTTATTTTAAAAATTTTAATACAGGAACTAGAATGTCAAGTGCTGCAAAGTTTGCTATTTTGTATGCATGCTTTTTTGACCGCCAAAGTTGCTTCAGTCGATCCTGCATTTTTGAGTTCAATACAGCAGACTTAAAAAATATTTTCATAAAAATATTCTTAAAAAAAACTATGACTTATTATTATGGTTGATAATAATACATAAAAAAATAAGTAGGTAATTTATAAAAAAATTATTATAATAATTAATAGCTTAATATTTCTTAGTTTTATTATATAAAATTTTATTAAAAAAATATTTATATTTGTGAGAAAAACTATTGGTGCAACTGCATATAAATTAAGTAATTTTTATTTAAACGTAATTTATATATAATATTAATATACAAATTTTTTAGAATATGAACATATGTAATTATTTTTCCTAATAAGAAAAAATTTTAATAAAGAAATACGAGTATTGCTAAATGTTTTATATATGAAAATTTTTTATATATGAAATTGTTAGGTAAACTTTGTACTTCTCCATTAGCAAAACAGAACCGAATTAATCTGCATATGTTAAATAATGTAAAATAGCCGTTCTTAGCATTGTTATATATTCAAATTATATTTGTAGTTAAAATGTTAAAATATTTGTAATAAAAGTTCATATATGCAATATTGGCTTTAATCGAACTTAAATATATAATAAAATTGTTTTTGTTTTTAAATATTTATTGTAATTTGTGCTTCATAAGGAAAATCTAATTTTCTGCTTAATGATTTGTTATGTGGTTGAATACAAAATTTTTATTTAAGAATTAAATATTCTTAAATATTCATTGCGAATTATAGAAAATGTCAATTTAAAATTTATGTAATTTATGTTAGTAAAAATAATATTGTTTTGTTTTTTATAATATGTATTTATTACACCAAAGCTCAAAACAAACAAGAAAATACATAAAATTTACAAAGTTGAAGCTTAAATTATTAAACAATTTATTAATTTTTAAAAATACTTTATACACTTTTTTTGTATATAGAAAATGTATGCACAACAAAATATTTGTAAAAGAATATATTATATATTATTTTAATATAAACTTAACCTCAATATCATTTATATATCTATTATACACACATACTTTTAGTCCAACTGTGAATTATTTTTAAAATATCTGTATTTTTACTGATATTTTAAATTTTATATTTTTAAATAAATTTTATTTAAATTTATATTATTCTTTTTTTAAAATTATTTTTAAACAGATATAAGATATAATTTATTTGCAGCTTTACTGATTTTTTAAGTTTTATATTTTAATCTAAGTTTTATTTAAAATTATGTATTATTATTTTTTAAATTATTTTTGAACAAATATAAGTAATTAATTAAAATTTATTTAAAATAGGAAAAGTTTATAAGTATTTATAAATTATTTGTACTTTTACTGATTTTTTGAGTTTTATATATTTATCTAAGTTTTATTTAAAATTATTTATTATTTTTTAAAATTAGTTTTAATTAAAATAGAAAAGTTCATAAGTATTTATAAATTATATAATTTTTATATTTTTATATAAGTTTTATTTAAAATTATTTAAGATTTTTTTAAAATTCTTTTTGAACAGATATAAGCATTTAATTAAAATTTATTTAAAATTGATAATGTTTACTTCTTTTTATGCAATTGCAATAATAAAAGTTAGGTCCGGTATTGGATCAGTTTGCTAAAACATAGTTTAAATTAAAATTATTTAAAATTATTTTTAAATAATTGAAGTCATAAAAATGAAATTTCACAATACCACTAATGATGGATATTATGAAATATTCGATACGTTTGTATTACCCAAAAAACCAATTAATTAAAAATAAAATAAATTTATTGCTTATGTTATTAAAGGCTTAAGCGAAAGATAAAAGTAACAGTCAATTTTTTATTTTTTATTTAATTTCCATAATTATTAAATAAAATAATACAAATAATACTATTAAAAAAATTGAACCGAAACTGCTCTCAAGAATATTTAAAATATTTACTTCAGCATATGACTTTAATCAATTTTATTAAAACCTATTATTGTTTATATATGTTTGTATATTAAATTTCTATTTTTAAAATTTTGTATATATTTGATATATATTATTTTTCGTTAATTTAATTAATTACGCTAGAGGAATAAATTAATTTTTATTAGAGTTAATATAAAATGTTCATTTTGTTAATAAAATTTTTATATTTTTAAAATAAACAGATGTACACATTTATCTTCTTTTATAATTCATTTGTTTTGTTGGTTGAATTGTTTAATAATTAAAAATTATTTTTATAACGTTTTTTAAAATATAAGAAGCATTTTCTTGTTACAATAAAAAAAATTAATGTAAACATTATAAATTACAATATATTTAATTACATGTTTATATTTGTTATATTTGTTTTTAAGCTTCAACATAATAAAATGCATGAAATAATTTAAATTTTATTTTATTTAAATTTTTAATTGTTTACACATTTACCATAAGTCAATTTGAAATTGTGTCCTTCGCTAAATATTAAAAATTAATTGCAAAATTAATGTGAATTTATATTACTAAATAAAATAATAAATATTATAATAATAAATTACATGCTTATATATAAAAGACAGTAACCTCATTAAATTACTCAGAATTCAATTTAAACTATAACCACCAAAATATTTATGAAAACTATTGCTTTACTTATAATTAAAAATCAAAATTAAATATAATAAAATATAAATAATTAAATGAATTCATACATTACAGTGTTTAAATAAGAGTAGAGTATATAAATGAAATATATTGCAATTTTTTTTATTATCAAAACAGTTTTTTAAGAACTTTTAAACAGTTCCGTCGACCAGATATACGAGTAAGTGCTTCTTTTTTAACCAAATATTTATAAAAAAAGTTTAAAATATTAAAAGTCAAAGTGGCTCTCAAGTAATTGATTCTCTTTTCAACGTATTTTTTTGTGTAAACTGTGTATATAAGTACATAACCTATTAAAGTTGCAGAATTCTACATCAGTGGCAGATGGTAATCCGTACTCTAATTACCACTTAACGTTTGTAACTTTTCGTAAAACAAATGTTAAAAAAAAGAACTCGCTGTTAAAATAATAAAAAATAAATAAAAAGTCACACACCTCATATATATATTCAATTTGCAACCGTCTGGGCTTCGAAGACGTTATATTCTCCGCAGACTTCATGTTTCAAATCATCTACATTTCTGTAAACTGTTTTCACTGTAGTTGAATAAAATTGAACAGAAACGAATAGAGTACTAGCCATCTTTATAATAACAACTGTCCCTAATCGTATAGAAAAGCTTCAATCCTGAGAATGGAAGCTTAAATATCACCCGTTAAAAAATTTCCTAATATCAGATGCGTATATAAACTCCAAGTATATATAAACTAACCACAAAGAATGTAAGTAAAATTCTTTTTTACCTTCGGACTAGGCCATTGTTTCAGCCATCTCAACGTGGTTTGTATCAACCGGATAGCTGAACTGTCAGCACCCTCAGCTGACAACTATCATCCCATAGTTGTAGGTGCAAAACAATCCCTTCACTTTTCTGTCAGACACTTTATTATATACTATCTTATTATCAAATTGTCTGTTCCACAGGATTGAAGAGTGCTTTCAAATTTATTCGTGAATACATTGCAAACGATTTCATAATTAACCGACTACACGCAAAGCATCAGTGCTCATTATGTTTACTAAAATGGATATTTTTCTTGCTTTTATTATTACTTCCGTAATGTAGAAAAAGTTAAAAATACTAGGACAAGCGATATACATTATACTGATATAACTAAAAAATACATTTCGAATTTTTATAGCCATTATAAACAGTATCTTTAGTCAAATATGTTGGTCATAGTTTACACAAATTTTTTTTATAACATGAAACTACAACCAGTGTTGAAACATGTTTGAATAAATCACAGCTAGATTGTTTAACTCAATATATATTCTTTCTATTATTTATTAATAATAAATGCATTTGAATCTTGTGACACATCAACTTTTTTTAACTATATTTCTGGAGGAAGTAGTGTTCGAATAAATTCAGTATACTCAAGCTGTTGTATTCTGCGTAAGCTTAGTTATTTCTGTCTTCAATCTTAATATATAGCTATAGATAGCTATTGCATAGATCTATTGCATAGATATTTAAAACTTTAACTACTTTTTTCTGATATTTTTTTGAAGAAAATTATATATGATTTTTGTGTTATAAAAATACTTTTAATTTATTTAATTACTTAATATGTTTCTACAATTCATTGAAAAAAAAATCAATTTCATTTCATATTACATTTATGCTCTACATTATTTGTTAGTGAATTGCAAAAGTAAAAAATCATAATCATATCAATTTAAAACAAAAACGAATAAGGAAATCAAAATCAAAGCATTATTAATTATAGACAGAAATACATAAACTAATTTCAAAATTATATATATACACATAAACATATTAACTTATAGCAAGCCCACATATACAAAACAACAAACAAAAGCATATATACAGATATTAAATATTATATATTTATGAATATGAAAAACTCAAATATTAAATATCCTAGAGCATAATTTTTAGAAAACTTATTTCAGCAGAAAGCCTCATAACCATAAATATATGTATACAAAAATATATATATGTGTATTTCGCAAAAAAGCCACACCAGATACAACTATATAAAGTAAAGCAAAAATTAAATAAAAATATTTATTTTTCAAGCATAATATAAGAACCTGAAAGTAACATAACGAAAATTGTTATCAAAATTATAATAATAAAATTATATATAATTGCACACTTAAAGACCAATTTATAAAATTTGCACCTCAAAAAATAATTTTATTTTTTCTCATATATCAAAAAAAAAAATAAAATGATTATAAGAAATTCATAATAATAATTATTTTGATGAATAAAAATAAACTGTTTTTGTTGTTTGCATATAAAAAATAGTTAAATGTTTGCTTTATGCATAATTAAAAATTATTGGTACTTAAAAATTAATATATCAAAAAATCCCTTTTTTACTTAACAAATTTAATAATGCATATAAAAATATATTACTTTAAAAAAGAAACCTAACAAACAATTGCTCACCGAAATTAAATAAAATATCAGTCAAAACTCATGCATTCTTCAAGCATTTAAACGCAGTACAAGAAAAAAATTTTATAATTTTTAATTTTAATTAAAATTGTAAATTTGAAATCATATGTCATAAAATAGTATTAATTAATAGTAGAAATATTAAAAATGTTTTTTATATAATTTGCATGAAATTGTTTTTTATTTAAAAAAATATATTAACTATAAGAAAATTTATGTAAGACAGAAAAAGTTATTCGAAAGAAATAAAAATAAAAATTATGGCTAATAATCAGAAAAACACCGTTTTTACAATAAATAACAACTAAAAGAGGTAAGTAGTTAAAATTTTTAATTACTTTTAACATATATCTTTTCATCAATATTTTTTTTTGAAATTTTTTTTATACAAATATCTAATTACAAGAACGTTATTGCACTTTCCAATGCTTTATTTTACTGTCATGTACAATTTTTACGCTTTTTTATCTTAAACATTTTCATATGCATTGTGTGCATTATAATCCCTAAACTGTTAAAGTTATCATGACTATAAAAACAATCCATTAAACCCCACAATCTCACTATAATCTTTGGTCGAAAATTTAAGCGATCTTTGAAAAGATATCTGCTTGAGATACATAACTTGATTTAAATAAACATTATTAAGTCCATAGAGCAACCACATAAATATGTGCGATTATGTTTGCTATTGTATTCGATATTGAATTTTTTACCTCCAAACCTTCTTTTTTTTCATTTCGAAATATAAAATAAATATACGTAGACATTTTAAGATACTTGATATCTTCTGGAACATAGAAGATATCAACCATCTTCAGTAATATTTTTCAACATTTTTTTATAATACATCTTATATAAAATTTTACTTTTAAAGTTCTCTATGTTCCACTACATACTTATATCCATTTTATTTCCTCTTTGAACCATAACCTACAACATTAAATTTTCACAAATCCTAACTACATTAGGTATTAAATGTTCGAAAGAGTTGCAAATGGGCTATTTAAAAATTCTATCAATATCAGTTCTGTATTTCTACTGAATTTCAGTAATATCTTTGCTCTAGTCAAGTTTTTTAGCAGATCATATTTACAAATTCTTATTAATAAATTGAGGTATCTTACATCGCAATCTAGAGATCTTCTCTGCATCCATTACATGTTTTCATTTTGTACACTAAAAATAGCTTATACAGCTAAGCTAAGTAATAAGATAAATAAAAAACATTTATATAAGTAGACCTTAAAGAACCTTATTTTTGCTCGCCCTTACCTTAAAAATCCTTTAAACGGAACATTTTAACAATCAGGACTGCTCATCATAATTGCTTCAAAATTAATTGCAATAATTAAAATACAAGTCCAAATTGCCTCGGAACTATTAAATTTTCTTCCTTAACTACTAAATTGCACCCCATCACTAATAATTTCAAACTAACAATCAATATAATCAAAAATTTAAGTTTAAATTATTATAACTATAAAATTGTTCTCTAGAGGACGTACGCCCTAAATTTAGATTACACTGGTTTACACCAATAAATTTCATAAAATTCAAACATCCTTTTATGCAAATAAAGCAATAAGTTTGATTCCATAGCCAATAGCTAATAGTGTTGGTGCAAAGTATTTACAGGGTTCTTGGTAAAAACTTATTAAATGTTGTTACTATATATATTTAATAGCATTTATTGATTACCAATATGTCTTAATTCTTTAAGGTAATCATTCCATCAGAACATTGTTTTGCATAACAATCCTTTGGCAATCCAGTTACTTCCAGGGAACTTACTCTTTAAATATATTTCAGCTTAAATGTTTAAAATCGATAACTCGTAATATTACATAGATGATCAAATATATTTTATAATTATTTTGTCTTTACTTTTCTACTACTATTTAAAAATAAGTAAGTTAAAATCAACATAACCATTTAATTATACGAGAGATTTTTGAACAACAATAAGATTATAATATGTAATCATGTCTTATGCACTCCAATAGGAAAAAATAAACCAAATTATTAATATATCAATGTGTTTTTCAAAACAGGAAGGAAGTTGATATTAAAAATAACTTAACTTAGTAATAATAAAAACTGTTGATCACTCCTTGTAATAAACCAACTGATTATCATCATAAATAAGTCATTGAGGCACTGCTATATAATTGCTTTATACTATATTGAAAAATTCATATAATTAAAATATATTTTCATTCCCCATTATATAAAATACTTATTAAAAGAACTTCATTTCATTGCCTTCATTATATTTCCATACTAATATGTTTGTATTTTAAATTTTACGGTATTATTACTTCAAAAATTATTTCAAATTCAATTTCTGCATGCATTTGTGGCTTAAAATATTAGAGAAATTCTTACTTGAATAACTGAAAATGTTATTTTAAAGAAATTTATCATTGAAAGGATATCATTTTTGTCATATATTTACAGGAAGCATTGTTATAAATAAGTGAAATATTACTCATGCTGGCACATATACAGTAAATTTTAAAGCAAGCATCATATCCGCCTGAATGTATGCAAAGTAAACGGCACGCTTTTTATATGCGTAAATTTTTAATGTTAGCACCCGACATATCTTAACAAACTTAAAGCTTAAATTTCTACACAAAGTGTGTTTAAAGCACTATCTATTCACTAAAAAAAAAAATTATATGTGCACTCAACTAAATAATTATAAAAAAGACAAAATTAAATTAAAATTTAAGTGATTTCATGTTTTATTAGAAATATTATATACTTTGACTGTTGCATAAAGAATTCCAACTAAATGTGTTCAATATTTAAATTGTTTATTAAAGCATTTAATATATTTAAAATAAAATTTAAATAATATAAACAATAAATTAATTAATTGTTTGTTTTAATTTAGTAAAAATACAATATTATTACATATATTTAAAAATAAAATCAAAAGTACATATATATTAATACTCTCTATACTTATATACATTTTACATGTACAACAATATTTATATATACTTATATACATACTTTTTTTCGATAAATATTATTGTGGTTATTATACTTAAATCAGTTAATTTTTTTATAACAGTTTAATAACTTCAAGTGGAGCAGTTCAGCTATTAAATAGATTTGTGTCTCCAATAACGTAAAATAAAACATAGAATTGCTATAAAATTGATGAAAGTTTTATAGCGGCATAGCTATAAAAGCTTTTTAAACATAGAACTTAATTTTCAGCTTAGTGCCTATAAATTTCACACTTACCTAGTAAATATCAAAAATATATTCTAAATATTATTTCTGCTTACATTTTACCAAATTGCTAAAACTCTAATTTTGAATAACGAAAATTATATGAAAGTTGGATGTCCACTGATGGTGGATATTTAACAGTATCCTAAATAGTTGTATGGTCAGCCTAAAAATACATCAAAAAATTTAATTTTTATTGTCATAAGTTATATAAAAATTATCTTAAGCATTGGTCCAATAGTTCAAACTATTCCTTCCGCCTGTAAAGAAAAAAACATAGAACAATATTATTTTTAAAAATTACTAATGATGCATATTTGGCAATAACCGACACTGCCATATGGTCTGCCTAAAGATACATACGACATATAAAAATTATTTAAGACGTTGATTTCCACAAGCTGATAATTTTAGCCTAAAAAAAAAACGTAGAACAGATATGGTACTACAATTTATAGTAACATTATAAAGTACTAATCACAAAATATTGTATATGTACTCGAAATGCACGTTAGTGTTCGCAGCTTGCATTGTCACTAAATTATTCGGTTAGCAAGTATTCGGTTATAGAGTATTCGGTTACCAAGTAATCGTTTACAAAGTATTCCGTTACCGAGTATTCGGTTAATATTTTTCATGAATGGTTCGATTTCGTTTCATTTTAACAGTGTTTCGAGATGAAAATTTAGTTCATTAAACGTTTCTCTATTGAGTTCACAATCTGAGGTTGATAGCTCCAAAGTTTGTCAACTATAGGGTATTCACTATGAGCATGCTAAGTGCTTTTACTGTATCCTTAAAAAATTCCGCAGGCATCAATATCGACAAGACTCAATCAAATGAAATGATACCTATGATTGCAGTGACCTGAAAAGTAATCGGATAATATTCATAAGTCGTAGAATAAACAGCCTAGGACCATGCGACCTGAAAAACCAACCCAGAGTGGAAAAAAGCAATGTAAATTAGAAAAAAATATTACAAATATTTTTTTTTTGATACATTAGTTACAAAATGTTACTTTAATTTTACCTTAATATATTATTTGTTTCTTCACTTGTTTTCATAATTAATATTGCTTTGCTTTTATTCAAATTTCTGAATTGGATTTATTTTCGTTGAAGCATTTTTTTCTACTTTTTCACTCACTATTGCTATATTCTATTGGTAGTGAAGATCTATTGGTTTTTGTGAGACCAACTGCTGAGTGTTTATCTGCAGTTTATTTTTTTTTAATATTTTCTACCTCCTCAGCTTATATGTTCATTATATTGTATTAGTTTTGGGAATGGTTTTTGTGATACCATACAAAAATATGCATCTTTATTAACTTTCGAGTATATTTCTAAATCCCATACTTGTTTTCATTCACTTTTATCGTATTCTATTAGTAATAAATGAGATTTTTGTGACGCCAGTTACAACTACGAATATCACTATTTTTTCTTCGAGTATCATTCAACTTCCAGTACTCGAAACTAAAAGTAGAGTATATCTTCTGTGATACACCTAAGAAAAGTTTTTGAATCGACGTCTTCAGTCGCATGGATGACATTAAAGTGAAACTGTTGGTTACAAGAATTTTCTTCATATTCTTTCTAAGACTTATATTTTTTCTTTTTAGTTTCGTGTTTGAATGTTTTCTTATCCTTGATATTCTTCTATAACTTCAACAGAAGATAAACAATAGATTTAAATCTCATTTGCCTTTGTGATTTCTAAAATTAATTATGAAACAATAGATATTTTTTAAAACTTAAAATAAATTTATTTAATAAAACATTTGCAAAACATATATTAACTATAAACTTATACAATGTATAAAAATTATTTTAAACTTTTTATAATTTTTGCCATAAACAAGGAAGCATTTTCAGACTGAGCTTTCAAATGGCTGTGCTGAAAGCTCAATCCTTACAATGTTGCCACTTAAATGAAAAGCGCGATATTGTATTTTAGCACTTGAAGCAGAATTTATGGCTGCAAACACTGCTTCATGTGGAGGCATTTTTTTTTATATATATACTATATACATAATTTTATAAAAAAAAGCTATGTAAATGATTACTAATAAAACTTAAAAAATAATTACTTTAATTTTAACAATATATTGAACATTCGGTATATTATTATCAAAATCTTTTCATGGCTGTTTAGAAAAGATTTTGATGTACATATATTATATTTTAATTAATAGTATACAGAAATATAATAAAATAACAATCTAATTGAAATTAATGAAAATGCTTAAATGAAAATATTGAATATAATTAGCAAAATTTTTACCTGGCTGTTGATAAAAATTTTCTATTTAAAAAACTTAAAAAACATACGTTCCACTTATCAAGAAAATATTTTAATGAGATTTATTATTCCTAAACAAATTTTAAATTTTCTATTTACATTTTATAATTTTCATTTTAAATTCTCTTAAAGCTTCAACTACAAATATTTTATATACAAAACTTTAAAAAATAAATTATCAAAACATTATGCTAAATAGACTGTCAAAACATTCATAACATTAAGAAAGCAACTTTTCTATTTTATTTAACTTTTTAACAAATGTCAACTACTTTTGCACTTTATATTATCTACACAGCATTTTGATTTGATTTTAAATACAATTCTAAACTATTTACTTATTTTATAATATTGTGTGTGTCGCTATATTCGGCTTTAACGAAACCTAAGTACGTTGTATATGAAATTTGCCTTCGTATGTGTACAAAATTAACTTTAACTTTAACTCTTAAATTTTATATAATAAACTTACACACTAAATCCCTAAATGCAGATGCTAACATTTCGATTGAATCAAGCAAAAGTTACATTGTTGTTGGTAAATAACAGTTTACACATAATAGATTTGAAATCGAGCATAAGGTCGATCTCAAACCTCAGCGCCTTCTTTAGCATCGGTGAGTCTAACTTGCGTAGCTTCTGCTGTAATGCCATTGATGGAAACCTGTTGATCGCGCCATGGTGTAGTAAGTATACGCAGCCGCTGTAAAGTGCATAATACATAATTATTATATTAAAAGTTAAATACAAATACAAATGTTATAAATTTACCTGTTTGAGACTGCCTGGTGTAGTTATCAATTTGTATATTGCAACCGTTGGTATCATTATCATGGATGATCCTGCTATACACCAACCTAAACCATTTGCCCAACCTGGGTAAGTATAATCCTTATAACTGAGTGGTTCATACCCAATCAGTCCATAAACAGTAATAAAGAGAAGAAAAAGTGGTGCCACAAAGCGCCAACAGACACGCCAATATGTTCCGGGTGCAAAACCTATCATATCGCGTATGTCCTCACAAAAACGATCTGTGCCTATAAAGAATTATATAAAAAGTTCATAAATTTAATTAGGTATATAGTAACAATATTTGCTCATTCTTCATGCATAAATTATTTTTCAAATTTGAATATTAAAGTTGATATATTTCTATACTTACCATAAATCCATGAAACTGCAATAGCTTCGAAAAAGACAGCTATGAGTATTGAGAAACCTGCCGCATATCGATCCAGCAAATGGAAAAAGTAAAAGCCACCTTGCGTGCAACTAGCCAAACCTACTACAAAATAAAGTGAAAATAAACCAGCAACGAAAATTTCACGATTTCGACCAATTTTTGGAAATTCATCACTCAACGCTGTTATTATAGCCTCAGAGCCACCAAACTAGTAAAAATATTTAATATTATTTCAAATTAATTTAATATAGTAAATACTTTTTTTAATAAAATATACGTATCAATTGAAATTATTGCATAAATTGGTTAACTTACCGAACTATCCAAACCCAGCGTTAGCAACATCATAAAGAATATTAAAGCCCAAAATGTGCTACCAGGCATTGTTGCTATAGCAGCTGGATAGACAACAAATACCAAACCTGGACCTTCTGTAGCCACATCTTCAATATTCTGTCCAGATGTATGTGCCATATAACCAAGTACAGAAAATATAACAAAACCAGCTACGAAACTAGTTGCCGAATTAATACAACTCGTTAGTAGGGCATCTCTGTAAAGCGTACCGGAAATGCAATGAAGTATTAAATATTAAATAATTTTAGTTAAAAAAAAATAATACCCAAAAATATTTATAGTATTCTACTTACTTGTATACATTGTTGTGGTATTTATTATAAGAAGCGTATGCCAATAAGACACCAAAACCTGGACCCAAAGAAAAAAATACTTGTGTTGCCGCATCGACCCATACTTCAGCTTTATATATGGCATCGAAGTTCGGATTCAGATAGTATTGTATACCCATTGCTGAACCGGGCAGTGTTATACCACGTATAAGCAAAATAAGTAGCACAACATATGGAAAAAGCGCTGTGAACCAGACAACCTTACCCGACGTACTTATACCTTTCCAGAGTGAAAAATAACATATTAAATAAACTGCTAATAAACATAGAGCCATATCCCATTTAATGGAACCCAAATCGTGTAGACCTTCACTTCTATTCAACTCCAATATATAACGACTGTAAATAAATTATAAATTGATTATATATATATATATATGTACATAAATAAATTTATTGTATAATATTTTTTGTTTTGACAACATACTTGAAGTACTCGGAAGCGGCGGATTGAAATCGTTCTATTGGCAATGGTGCCTCAGCAGTCGTTGTTACATTTAAGAAAGTTTCGTTGCTAAAAAGTAGAGTTTGATTACTAAATAAATCTGAAAAATTACCCATTAAGCCTTTGCCATCTTTTTGTATTTCAAACTGCAAAATATATGTTTATAATATAATTATTTATATATATGTATGAGTTAATTCATATAATTTACCGGTTTACAGTTTTCTGTATTCCATATATTGTTGCATGATGTCCATGGTAGATCACTGGTAAAAGATGCAAATAAAAATCGTAAGCACCAAGCTATAATGACATTATAATAAAAGTCCACATAAAAGGCAATAAGCACCACAGCATATCCAATCCCTGTTATGGTAAATAAATAATATATATAAAATGTAATATGAGTATTTTACGTATATATATTACAAAGACAATGGTGTTATTACCTTTAAATAATGGCACGAGACGTCCCCAGCAAGTTATTGCTCCTTTACGATTATGCTGACCTAAAGCTAATTCCATATAAAAAAGAGGAATGCCTCCAACTAACAACATAACACAATACGGTACTAGAAAAGCGCCTAAAAAAACAATGGAAAATTTATTTAATTAAAAATATACATATATAATTTTATATGTTAATATGGGCACAATAGACCCAACGCACAGTGTAACAAAACAGAAATTAACCGATCAAAATTCGATATTTTCGGAACCAGTAAAGATATTAAAATTAAATTTTCCTAAAATATAGTTTTTGAGATGTTCTTTCTTTTAAATCTTTTAGGCCAATCGGTCTATCAGAACCCCTCAAAATTTTGGGTGAAAAATCGGGCATTCTGCGATCTCCCCAGTTTCCTCAAAAATTATTTTTTTTTAAGTTCCTTTCAATATCTCTACTGTTTCTCTGCTTACCGACACTGTGCGTCGGTCGCAGTGCCACATCTCTTAACAATAATAATAATAATATAATGTATATATTAAAATTAATATATAAAATGTAGTGAAATAATTTTAATATAATAGCAATTACTTTTAAGGTGACTTCTAGATTATGAATACTTTAATTTTTTGTTTATTTTTATTATTTATTTTATTTTCAAATATTCCTCATCAAAATAATCCAGTACAAACAAAAGATCGATATTATTTTTTAAACACTTTATTGCATTAAAGCATAGTCAATTAATCTTTCATTTAGAACATATTACGAATACCTTAATAACAATGAGTTTCGTCTTCTATGCTGAAATAGCCTGAACTAATATAAAAGTGAAATACAGAACCAATGAATCATAACAAAACCAACACAGCAGACACCATGTTGATGGACTGCAAAGATACACAACTTTACAAAATTATTTCAATATCCCTTACAAATATACATAATATAGAATGAAGGCTATGTATGTAATACTTGTTATCATCATCACTGACAAGTACATGCTACGATACTCAGGTATGCCATCCCAAGTGCAACAATTTTCAAGTGTCTACCGGCACTGCTATACCATGAAAGGCATTGAAAATGTGGAAGGTGGTAAAATGTTAAAAGTACTACTGAGATACTTCGTGGAATCACAGCATAAATGTTATGATTTGATTATGTCTAATAGTGAAAGAATACAAAAGTATTTTACTCCTCCTTTAATTTTATATAAAAGTGGAAATATGGGTAATGAATGTTCATGACGTCATATTTAAGAAATATAGCAATATATAATGTAATATAGTGAAGGTTTTTTGTTTACTTTGTTTAATTTTAATGTTATTTAAATTTTTTTTTTCTTTAATAATAGTGTTTATTTAATGCTATTGCAGCTATTATTATATTTATTACTATTACACTGTATTGGTACACGTAAGCTCAAGTATGAATGCGAGTAAATATCAAGTTTGCATACCGTTACTGCTTTCTAGTTACTCTTTTCATTGCTTTTGTGATATACACAATGATATGTATATATCCATGTGTTTCATAGGAATGACTATCGTTAATCAAATATCTAATGTTGTAAAACATGTAAACCAAGCTAAACAGAAACCACTGCTAACGTATACTCGTATTAATTAATACAGATTAAATCTGTCAATCTATCGAATTTCTTCAATCGACTTACTATCATTAAATAAAAAACGGATTCCAAAATCTTCTGTAATGAATTCTTAATACTGAAAAATATATTCAAAAACTACCAGGTTTGCCAGTAACGAATACTATTACTACATTAAAGAATCTGAATCAATTATTTGACAATCTTCTATCGATTTAACTTTTAGTTAAGAAGTATTAACAATATTGCTGTTATGCTAGCCACCCACTTATGAATCAAGCAGATTATTTCGAAACCTTACTAAGGCCTAAAAAGCACTTAAAAGAAAGGTCCGAAAGCTGACCCCAGACCCATTAGATAGTAATTGCCTAGCTTATGCATTCTACGTTGCGTACCCGCTTATGAGCAATAAAGCATATGTGAAATAATTTTTTTTTGTCATTTAATATTTGAATTTGTTTCCTAAAATATAGAGACCAGTCAATTACACACTATAAGATCAAATACTATACGAGACATTTAAATTAGGTCGCAAGAATTTTTTTTCCAAACAACAAAAAATTGTCCGAGAATCATTGAATTCTCTCATCTTATATATAATAGTTTTGTACATAACGATATTAACTGTAGTATACCCAAATCTTTCAGACGTTTTGAATGTATTTTCAATGTGACTAATAGTATGTTTTCACTGCTTACTTAGTAAGTGTAATAGCACATTTACACTGGCTTATTTACGCGATGTTGCTCATTATAGCCACTAATGTGGATGATTTACAACACAAAGAACTTTCATACCGTAATGACCTCATTATCAATAAATAAAATCATTAAAGGAGAAAAATGTCGAATGAAACCTTTAAAAATAAATTTCCAACAAATGAAATTAACAAAATTTGAAATATGTGTCATATGTATTATATATTATGTATATATATATATATATATGTATATGTTGTTTAAACATAAATAATAAATTATAGTTTTTATTTTATATTTAATTTGACAAATTAGCCTGCTTTGAAATTAACATATTATAAATGATTTAATACATCAATTGTTTATTTTATTTTTTTTGTGTGATATATTATTTAGAAATTTATGTAGACAAACAGAATTTTTCTTAAAACTCTCAAAAAACTTTCAGGCATAAAAAAACTCTTTCACATGCAATATTTAACTTGTGTCAATGGAAACGATATAATCTTAAAGTTACTTAAGTAATGTACTAAGTAAGCAGTGAAAACATGGTATAAGAGCACAAAGAATAGAAATGTTAGACTGGGTCTTTTCATGTTTGTATTAAACTGTTGCTATATATTTTAAATATATTATATCAGTACCCTAAAGATAATAATAGTCGATTATTAATTAGCGTAATATTTGTTTCAAAAATAAAAATAATAAATCAAATGCAAAACATTACCTTTGTCTTAATTTTTATTAATTCCTAACTGAAGTATATATATTTTTAAATTCAATGTAATTTGTGTCTAATGGACTACCACTAAAAGTTTTTTTATGTTTGCAATAATAGAACTTAATAGGTCAGCCTCTTCTTTTCAGTATTATTAGTCCAAATTATTATGGACTATGTTAATAATTCCCAATTATACAGAATTATCGAACTACTTCTGTTGTATTATAAATCAAGGGTTTCATATACATATATTTTTCTTTTTAAATTAATTGTTTTATTAGATATTTTAACCTTTTTAAAAAGTTCCATAAAAATTTTTCAATTGCCTTTTAAATCATAAAATCAGAACTTTATTTCTTTGACATTTTATGCTTCTCACAAAAAAGGAAAGGAGGCGAAACCTCTCTATTTCCTGTTCAATTACTGGTACACTTATGTACTTTATACCTTTGTCATGATGCCATTTTATTCATCATTTGTTAAAGGCCAAAATTATGGTACAAATAAATCTAATTTTAAAACAAAATAAATTTTCCATGCATAACAGGCGAGGCAGCATATTGACTTTGTTCTTTGTAATTTTTTACATTTTTCTCCATGTTTTTCACAGCAAAATGAAGTGCTTGGAGTGACAATAGACTCAAGCTCCTATGCCATCAAACATCAACACCATTCGCATCAATGGGGTTGGTTGGTTAGTTGGTTTGTTAGTTCAGTGGTTTGTGTGACGGCAGCTATGTTGCATAGAAGTTTAGAGTACGAGTGACGGTATTAGATTCTTAAAGTGGCGGATACAATAATATAATGACGTCACATAATCAAATTTCCTCTTAAAACAATATTTTGCATACACAGGCTCTGTATTTTGTTTGTGCTCGTATAGTCAGTACCAGTGCGTACGACAGCTGAACTTAAAAGTGACATGTTATAGGGACGATGATGTTAATATTATTATTAAATAGAAATGTTCTATTTATATCAAAGTGATATAGATATAAAACATTTTAAAGATGATTGCGTGTTTAGCATAATTACACAATAATTTAATAACTATTGATTTATACACTTTATGAGATTTAAGTTACTCTAAATATCGTATTTCTGAAATATGTTGTAAAATATAGATATGTTTGAATAAATATCAAGTTTTAATAAATATTTAATACCAATTATTCAAAAAAGTATTTAAAAACCCTTGCATTTTACAAATTAATTAAAAAAATTAAATGCATGATTAAGTGCATACTATGACAATAGGATATACCAAGATTATATGAACTTATCTAAAAAACACTTAGAATCATCACAGTAATCTTAACAGGTCACTGTAAACTAAAACACCACCTCACGAGACTGCGTATATATACAGACGCAAACTCTAGATTCAGCGAAGAGAATGAAGAGGCAGTCAAACACGAGCTATTAGAATATCCTGTGGTAATACACACACGGAATAGACTCCTGGGAATGTATATCTTTTGCGAGAGGCAATAAAACTATGTAAAGGTAGTTCTATACTACTTTTTATCTTAGAAACTTAGATTCTTACTATAACCCCAGAAGGAGGCTCAATAAGCTCCTCTTTATAATATATTCTCCTTTTATTATATTCTATCCATAATTTATTTAAAGAACGATTACCAATTTTGCAGTTTTAAAAGTAATGGGTTAATAAAATATATTTGTGTTTAGATTTCGATTTAATTATTATTTCAACACTTTGTTTGGACTTTGCAGTAGTTCTCAAATACAATATCATTCAAATGTTTTTCACGAGATATCTGATTATATTGAATTCTTTTATAATATTTTGACCGAAAAAGTTATTACACACGAAAACCAAAACAGGACATGTTGTATAACTTATGATACTGTTTAATTCAAAACACATTTCTTTCACATCCCTATTATATATCTCACGACAAAAACAATTAATCTAGTAATCATGTTACTATAACGACCAAAGTTAAGGGTTTATACCGACTTTTTGTGGACTCATAAGGATTTCGGCAATTGTGAATTTTCACTACTTCAAATACGACAAAATTGTTTGTTGACATATCCACCAAACTGGAAATGAATCTCAACACTAAAGGAAACTTTATGCAAACTTCGTTTTTAACTGACCAAATAATTTCTTCCAGCAAAAAGTTTTGTGTAGACGGAGTTTCTAAAAGAAAAATCGCAGAAGCTGCTAAAACTCCTTGATCATACCGTTCTCGGCTCTTGAAAAGTATTTCGAAGACTTGAAAAAATGTCGGTATATATGTAACGTAACCAATGGTGATTATTTTGAAAGGGATAAGAAAAATATTAATGAACGAAAAATGAATTAAGTCTGTTTTTCAAAAATTATGGGTTAAAACAAAAATTATGGGTTATATGAGATTACAAAAATAACAACAACCAAAGTGTTTTATTACACTTTTATTAAAATAAAAGTGTTTTATTAAAAATTAAAAATTATTAAAAATAAAACGCCAATTATATTTTCTTTCCAAAACTAATAGTTATTCTTAACTTTCATATCTTTAACACAAAAAATAAATAATTATTTCTGCGTTTTAAAATAGAAAGCAGAGTATATGAGTTATTTGTGCGCGAAAAGTAAAAGGCACATAATAATAATTATTTTTGAAAAATATAATATAAAGCAAAATGAATTATTTTGTAGAGTTTTATTTCAAAATGGGAATGGTAAATATGGTATGGTATGGAAAGTTAAAGTTATTAATTAATTTCTACTTTTTTATTAATAACTGTTACGGCTCCCGATTTGCAGTTGTATATAATTTCTGTCTAATTGAAGTAAAATATTTTTTAATTGAAGTTTATATAATAAATAATTTTTTATGAAAATTTTATATGGTGTGGATGTTGCAGTTAGCGGAATATTATAAAACTTTTTAAACTTTAGTGATATAGTACAAGTATTTACTCTACTAAATATTATTTTTCTACCTATTATAGTTTTTAAGATATTCAAAAAAATTGAAATGTTGATCAAGTTCGGAGGGATTCCGCTAGGCTCATAAGGAAACTATGATTTTAATATCTATAATAGTTACAAAAAACACCAAATTTTTGTTAGGCGACGCTATGCGTTGGAGATTTTACGTTTTTTGTTAATAAAAAATGCTTTCACAATAATATTATTAATATTAATAACATATAAATAATATAAAACTGATTTCCTACAAAATGTAGCAACAAAAAAATTATGCAACAGGTTTTAAGTCGGCGAGTAATCAAACAAAAAAGGCATTAAATACTTGTAGATTATACAAAGAGTGATGAATGAATAAGAAAATGGTATAAAGTATGAAATACAATCATCCTTAAGACGATATTATGTGGCAATAATCCTGAAAAAATGTTGCCTTTACTTAAAGTCAACAATTTTGCCGCCATTAACATTGGTAATGCGAAAGGAAGAAGTGACTTGGGCAGCGATAAATTACGATAAGTTGCCATGGACTTTTAAGCTTAACAATGTCTTAGCCGCTGTGATTTTGATTGTGTGCAATGAGCTGTAAAAATTGAAAATATTAAAAAATTATATACATAAGAACACACAGCAGCACACGCCCCACACACCCCACACAGTAATATTAAATCCAATAATACCTTGAAAAATTGTTGAAATAAAATGAAATATGACAAATTTCTTTTCATCATCGTCGGTTTGTGCGGCGAACGAGCACAAAACGTGTGCAATACTCGAGGCACATTTAGCCAATTGTCATAAGAAATATTTACGGAGTTTTATCCTTTTTATACTTTGCACTTAACCTTATTGAAAGAATTCACAAGAAGTCACAAGAAGTCACAACAATGAAATATGCGAAGCATACTTTTTTCTACTATCCTTCTCCTAGTTCTGCTAGGATATGATTGCCTTCCGCCAGTGGTTATGCTGAATGCGATTATAACTGTCAGATTTAGTTGTCATATAAAAGCACTTAACTTTGAAATTGTTTTGAATGATAGGGCGAGTGTGAGTATTCCAGAATTGAATGCATAGCAGCATTCATATGTTCATACATAAATTAACAATAAAATAAAAGTACATTCAGTTATTCAGTCATTCATTCATTTATTCATTTATTGAGTTAAGTACGCGGTAATTTTCTCAAGGAAGTACGCTTCAGCATAGCAACTGCACAATACTAATCGCAGCACTTCAAGCAAAGGCAGATTGTTAAATCCTTCATCAAATGGACAAAAAAACTGAAGTTAAGCATAAAATGTATTCAGCGGTGAGGTTCATTCGCATTGTTGAATTCGGAAGAGCACAACTTTTTGAAATTGTTGCTGAGCATTCATGGTGAATGAACCATGCGACAGGAATACAAATCCATAGTAAATTAGACGCACTTAACACACTTAATGAAGCCACTTCGTTTCTATAATTTATCATTCCAAAATAATTATCACACACATGAAAGTGAAATGATTTTAATTCGTGTAACACTTATATATATAAGTACTTACCACCGCCATTTTTGTAACACAAATAGGGAAATCTCCAGACGTTTGCTAAATCTACGGCGAATCCAATAACCGATAATAAAAAATCGACTTTGCCGCTCCATGTTTCGCGCTGATCTGTACTATCAGTATCGTCTCGTGGTGTTGGTGTCTTAGCAATTTGAGCGGTTGGTGACATCGCCAAGGCGATGTCGTTTTCTTCGTCGACGCCGCACTCTAATTCTGGAATGAAACATGAATGATTCATTAGAGTAAATCAATTATAAAACAGAAAAAGAATAAATCAATTAGAACAGTTATATATATTTTCATATATAGTTTAATTTTTTTTTCTTATTTTCAATAAAAAAAGATTCCAATTTATTCAAACTCTTATAGTGATCATCAGTTGTAGTATCATTCGTTTGCAAATAAGAATTTTGAGTGAGTCTTTTACTCCATTCTTGAAGGGCTGATAACAATTTCATCCTCCGAACCTTCATCATCACTTTCCGTTGAGCTTCAAATCGCTCTTCGAATAAGAAGAGCTATAATGCTCAATAATATCGTCATTAAAGGAATGTCGTCCTGTTCGTCCCATGTAGAAAATTGGCCAAATCCAGCTTTTTTAAAGCATTGCGCTAACGATTGAGTACCGTCAATCGGTGCCGTCAATCGGTAGCGCCAGGGACTGGCAATTGCACAAATAAGCAACATAAAAATGAAAAAATTTAAACATTTCCAAAACCCTGTGGCACTCTTTTTAGTTAGAGTTATAGAAAAATCGAGTTATAGAAGTTCGAGTTATTGAAGTTTGACTGTACATATATATACATAAATATATTTATATAAATATTATTTAAATAAATAGTCTCAAGACTCAATTTAAGGTTATATTAGGTTTAAAATCTACACAGTTAATATACTTGTTCATTCTTTTATCGAGTAAATCTTTTACAAATATAATTGTCGCATTTATATGCATTTTATTGTTGCGCAAATTTAACTTCCCTCGCAGGATCAATAATGATCTTAATAGTGACCTTAGAATCAGCTTTACTTACTTTTATACGATTAATAATAACCACTACTATCATTCTTGTTGAATGAAGTACTTTAGAACGTTGTTCAGTGAACTAGCGAAAACCTTCATGGTTCTCGGCATGGTTCATGGTTCTTCATGGAAAACTTCTTCATGGAAAACCTTCCTCGATCTTCAACTTAATAATTCACCTAATTACTTCGTTAACAAACTTATATAATTTAGAGCTATATTCACTTCTGGATATGACAAAGTCACCTATGTCAAATATACCGTTAAGAACTTTAAATTTAGGCATGTCAGAAATGGGGTCTTCAGACACAACGGGATTAGCAACAAGAGTATATGTAGTTTTAGTTTTAGTCAGCTTATCCGCTTTACTGTTTGCTTTTATGTACCTCATCTAATTTTCAATTAACTACTACCAGATGGGAAATTAGTACGGAATTATATATTAATTAAATAAAAATATAATACAAATTATTCTGATATATTTAATGTCTGCATTAATAAATATTAAAAGAACTCTTTGGTTTTGACTAAACAACTCGGTTTTTTATTCCACTGTTAAAAAAAATGTTTGGAATCTTGTTTTTAAATTATTAAAGACAAATAAATTATATTATACTGATACTTCTTTCAAATAGTAATTTATATTTACTATATGTAATTTGCACTAAAAGAGAAGATACAATTAGCAAATACTGAATGAGATTAATCAAGATGTAGAAGACCTCGACCTAAAAAGTTGTGGAAAAAAATCTTAAGAATTTAATGAATGAATCGAATACTGTACCAAGAAGAGATCCACAATGGTTTCTTCCACAATCAAAGTGATTATCGACTAAGAAAGAGAAAATGTTCTAAAACATAAAATCGATAAAATACAACCTATACACCTATAAATAATATAAAATAATGACATATTTTAATATAAAGCGAAAATCACTTACATCCCTTAACTTAATTTGAAACACGACCGAGGCATAAAAATCGCCACCTTCTTTTTTTAATTTTATTATTCTTTCAACAAAATGGAAACGTGCACTTAAAAAAAAATTATTAAAAAACACATAAGTATATATGATCATAAAGTTATTACTATTTTCCTTTCTTTATACAATATTTCCAACGATATTGGAGCAATTCTCTCTGTTTCATGCAACATGTACAAATTGTTCAGTCATTCTTAGACCGGGTCGCACTCGAATATGCACCAAGAGTTTTATTTCATTTTTAAGCAACATATTCCATTGATTCTGCTTTGGATTATTATTAAAGCAATTCATTCTTAGAATAATGTCATATATATATTACGCCGTTTTGTTCTCGAAACCTCTATTTAGTTTTCACAGAATTGTTCATTGCGCATTCCTACTGACCGATATGCTTTTAGCTTTTGTCGATAACACAATTAATTCGATTTCTGAATTACCACACAAGTGTTTCGACCATTGATAAGGAATACGGATATTCGATATTTCCAAGTATTATAACAGCTTTATGCTAAGCCAAAAATTTATCTAATTAAGTAATAAAAATTTTATTGTTCTAAATCACTATTTTTTAATTGAAGTATGTATTCCATTTAGTCACTTTAAATAATTTTTAAATTCTTCATTATACAAAACAATCAACAATTAATTACATTTAAAAATTATTAAAATATTTATTACTTGATGAAGTATTAAAATTATTTTCAAACATTTTTCCATTTAATCTACTTTACCTACTGTAATTTGGCCCAACGAATTTTATTCAAATCATCTTTCATAATTTCTCTACTTTCAAATAAACTCCCTTTTCAGGACCTCTAAGCAATTTGTACATATTAAACTTCATTGGTATCTGGGTCTTCTGCGAGGGAGAAAATCGAAAATTTTTAATTAATGAAGATAATCCAATCAAGACCTGAAATTCAGCAAATCTGGAACCAATGCATGCTCGAGGTCCTCTGCTAAAATCCAACCATGCCATTGGATGACGATTTTCGACTTCTGTCTTCGTAAATCGTTCTGGATCAAATTGATCAGGATTTGGATATATATCTGGATCATAGTGTATGGCATCCATTGGTATAATTACAGTAGTTCCTTTTTCAATAACATAATTTGTATTAGAAACAATATAGTCTTCTGCGGTTTTGCGGGAAAGAAACGGACCTACTGAATACATACGCATAGTTTCTAATAGCAAACGGAAGAAAGATATTTTGTTAGAATATTTTGATCATTGTATTCGTTATTCTTAACAACTTACCATGCATAACTTGAAGTAAATATTTCATTTCCTTTACTGCTTCATAGGTTGATTTTCCATCATGCTGAGCAATGATTTCATTTATTTCTCTTCTGGCCTTATCCTGTATGTCTTGATTTAAGGCCAATTCATATAAGCAAAAACTAAGTACACTAGAACTTGTTTCATAACCTGCTGCAAAGAATAAAAATGCTTGTGCAGTTATCTCATCCATTGTCAAATTATCTACAGTATTAGGTTTTCTTAACTCCATGAGAATGTTAAGAAAATCTTTTCGTTGTTCACCAGTTCGATCTCGAAATTCCACAGTTTCACGAACAACACGTAAAAAAAATTGAGAAACTTCTTCAACTACAGCTTTCAATCCGAGTTTTCGCGACAATTTAGGAAATAGAAGCATAAATGACATAACAGGCATACTATGTCTATAACTGCAACCTTTTTTGGTGATTTCTGTTAATTTACTTTCAGGATTCTTCAAACTGTTACAATTTAAACCAAATGCAACACTTCCAGTAACATCAGTTGTATACCGTAACATAAGATCATCACAATGAACCCCATCATCCATATTCGTTGAACTTAACGTTTCTTCCAAAACATTAACTAACTGATTTGCAATGTCGACTACTGAAGTAAGCATGAATTTAATTTTTCCAGATGTAAAAGCAGGAGTTAATTTCGCTCGCATTGTTTTCCACCGTACACCATCCAAATTTAATAAGTGTGCGGAAACTGGATCATCTTTTTCATTGCAGTAATATCCGTGATCAGTAAAATTTCCAAAATCCTTAACTAATATATCTTGAATTAAATCAAGATCTAATAACATCACCATTTTTCGCATATGTATATAAATAAAATCCAACGAATCTTCCGCTTCCTTTATATTTCATATAATATTCACGAATAATTTGATATAATGTTTTAGACCGCATGAACTCCTTGACATTGCCGTAAAATAGTTCTGGTTTATCATGCAATATACCACGTTTACTAAAATAGGAGTTGTTTCTCTTCAATGCCAAGTATATGAGCAGGAAACTTCCGAAAATAAAGTATACAAGGATTCTTATTAACTCCATGTGGACTCCACTGTTAAACGAAGACTGCGTATTAAATGCAAATTTGCAATTCGATCAATTTATATTGTTCCGTGTTGTAATTTTTTGTCAAGGAAAATAACTTCTCAATTTCTTTTGTTAGACAACTATATAATTAAGATATTATCTTATTTATATGATTCACTTAAAGTTAATTTACTTTAAATGTATAATGACTATAAAATTAAAATAAAATTGTATGTATTGATCGAACCATCTGTATAATTTTCTCAGAATGTCGAATATACATAGTTAAGACTTTAGCGTTTTTGTAGAGAACACATATTTTTTACAATAATTAAAGTTATATATGTTTTAATTTATTTTGTATATTAAATTATATGTAGTAATCATATTTGTTTTTATGCTAACATTGCTGCAAGGGACTGACCAAAGAAAAGTGCAACGGCATTGCCTTATCAATGATATTAAATATTAAATTATAATTATTCATGTCAATTTTTTTTGCATCCAACTAAACGCACTTCTGATAATCGTTTATTAATTAAGAGTAACGGATAGTATTTATTTATTTATGTACTAACTGACCTGGCGAACGTTGTTTCCCCTTGCAATTAATTTTCCTGGTTCTGTTGAGTTATAATATTTGTTGTTATTCAACTTAACCTTTAGCATTTTAATGCGAAAATTATTTTGAACTGATTTTTTCTTTTGAACTGCAGAAAGTCCACATGTATTACTTATGTTACAAATATTTTCATGTTACTTCCAATCCTTATAAGCACTACATTTTAAATGAAAAAAGGTTTTTTTAATATTATATTAGCAGTTTTA